TAGTATAATGGGGAATATAGAAAAATATAGCTATAGATTATATCTAATACTTCATATATAGATAACCTGGATATATAATAATTGAGCTATAGGTATATAATCTCCTTATTTAGAGGTTTAATATTATGGAAAGTTATTTAATAAAGCTTTATAATTACTTTTTTAATTGAATTAGAAATACATGAAGTCGCTTATATAGTAAGAGAGACTATAGCTCTCTAGAGGCTATTTAGGGATCTAAGCTTAGATCTTGGAGAGCTCTAGACTATATTCTGTAATAATAAGTAGACTATTTAACTAATTATTAGAGAAAATAAAAGAATTACTATAAAGCTTTATTATATTAATATCTAGAATATATGGCTATATTAAGAATATAGTAAAGGTATATTTCAAGTTATATATTTTTAAATGAGTAGTATGCTTATAGACGGACTTATGAAAAATCTACCCTAATTTAAATTCGAGAACTTTAGAGCTTTATTAAATTTTTAGGATATTAGAGTAAAGATTAAAATAATTAAATAATATGAAAAGAGGCTTTTATTTATGTCTTTTATTTATAAAATCTATTAAAATAATAGAGCCTGAGAGCTAATAGTAGGAGATTTAAAGGCGCTTTACTACGGTATTAATAAGCTTATATAGAAGGCTTTTTACCTGATTAGACTATTTCTTATTTCTCTTAATAGCTTCTTGAACCTTAGTAGAAGAGCTCTTATTATTATCCTCTTTATTAGATTTGGTAATCTCAAGTATAGTATAAATAGAGTGCCTAAGAATAGATAAATGCTTTAAAATAGTTAGAATCTATAAAAGAGAATTAAGAAAAGAAAGCTTATAGCGTTTTTGGTAGTCGGAAATTTTATAAGAAAGAGCTATATAATAGGGATATAAGAGATTGGAATAGCTAAATAAGAATAACTAGAAGTATACTTCTAGTAATGAGAATCTCGACTAATAGTATTATAGTAAGAATTATTACTCTTGCCCTTTAAAGCAAATGAGACTATATTAAGTTAAAACGAGCTTTAAAATAGTATAGAGAACTTATAATAACTCATATAAGGGATCTCTCTGAGACTAGCATAAGTAGGACGAGAAGTGCGAGGCTTTAGTATAGACTTCTTTACCTTTAGTAAAGGGGTACTAGGAGTATTAGAAGATGCTATAGGGATCTGAATCTTAATATTCTATTAAAAGTGAGCTTTATATTAATAGTTAAGAGCTATATTTATAGCGGACTTGCAAGCTACTTAATATTATCTAAAGTTAGTAAAAAGTAAAATAAGAATGTATTTTGGATTAAAAATACCTTGGATTTGCGAGCCGGAATTGACTTAATAGTAGTGCGAGAAGAGGTAAAAGCTATATTTATAATAATTAGAAGCTTGGGAAGGGATCTTTAGAAGAGTATTAAAGAAAAGTATTTAATTAGAGGCTCTGGAGTTAGTGAAAAGGGGGGGTTTATATAGGGATTCCCTGGAATTTAGTAATCTGGGGAAATGATACGTACTAAGCCTATTTGGATCGGAATATTAATATGGCTTTATAAAACTCATATATTAGACGAATTTCGCTATTTTAAAGCTTTCTAATTAGGTAAAACAGGTAGAATACGGTATTGTGCTTTTCTGGGGGGTGTATTATAGTAAGAATTACTAAATTAGGGCTAGCGTAATTGTTTTGCTTAGTTAGAATCTATATACTTATTTCCTGAAGCTTTATACTTTACTTAAGCTCTTTTCTAGCTAGTTTAACAAACTCTTTTATTATCTAATATAACTCCTTACTTTATAATTTTTATGTATATTAAATATTCTAGTAAATATATATATATATATATATATATATAGTTTATATATAAGTAATATAGGCAAAAATGTGCTTTTTAGAAAGTATAAATTAGGTGTTTCTAGGAGCTTATATAGAAATAAAACATGCCTAGAAGCTAAGCCCCTAAATATATAATATTAGTATATATAGGGCATATTAAGGAAAGAGAAGTCCTATATTATAATATATTCCCTAGGCCTTAAGAAGCTTTTAATAGCTATTATAGCCTAAACTAAATATAAAAAGAAGAGAGCTAAAAAGCTAGTCTTGCTTAACTAGTAAATAATCTAAAAAAAAGAGCCCCGTTTCCTTAATTTCCTTACTTTATTCTAGCTAGTTTTTATATCTAGCTAAGAGCTCTAGTATTCTTAGGGGCTCTCTTATTTCTATTATTACTTTCCTATTCTTATTATTACTTTCTTTTTCTTTTTTTTTTTCCCTTTTTCTTTATCTTATTTAACTTATAATACTTATAAATTATATTTCCTATAATTCTAATTTATAGTAATTAACTCGTGAGATCTTATGTTTAGGCTTACTTTAATGTGAATTTTATACTAGTAAATCTATTACTAAGCTCGTGCCTAAGTTATAATTTAAACTTGTCTAGCGAGAATAAATATTACTTATACTTTAATATTATAAGCTATATTATTATCTCGTTAATTACTATATTCTAGCTAGCCATATGTAGTATATAGATCCAAAAGCTCCCTATAAGCTAATGAGCCGAGTATTTATAAATGCTTTAACTATGGGTTATTAGGGTATATATAAAGGGCTTGTTATAAGAGAAATATATGCCGGCTCATATCGGGCTTTTATATACTTATTGAATTAAGTAATAAGAGAGGAGGTAAGGTGTATTAGGGAGCCTGTAAAGGTACCCCTAATAAAGTAAGGTATATTAGGGAGCCTATAAAGGTACTTCTAATAAGATGAGGTATATTAGGGAGCCTATAAAGGCATTTCTAATAAAGTAAGATATGAGAGAACTAGTAAAGGCCTTTTACTTTGGCCTGTATTTGAGTATAGGGCTTTTTCGTGAGCTCGTTAAATTATGAGCTTTAATAATTAATTATATGCTTTCTTATTTAGGTAGTAGAGAGAGGCTTACTAATTACGTAGTAAAAGTTATTTCTAAGGAATATTATAGGCCGGGCTCATAACTAATACAGGCAAAAATATGCTCTTTAGAGAGTATAAATTAGGTGTTTCTAGAAGCTTATATAGGAGTAAAACATGCCCAGGAGCTAAGCCCCTAAACACGTGATATTGGCACGTATAGGGCATACTAAGGGGGGGGGAAGTTCTATATTATAATAATAAGCTTATAAGGCTTTATATCTCTTATAACTTACTTGTTTCCTTAAGTTTTAGTTATAATACTATTTTAGATTACTTTCTAATTTATTATTTTTTTAGTAACTATTATTATATCTTATTTTCTAACGAGTTTTATTTATAAGATATATATAATATAATTATACTAGAGGCCTGAAAATACTTATATTATAAGATTAAAAAATAAATATTAAGTAAGCTAGAAAATAAAATAAAATAATTTTCTTTTTCTTATAGAATCTTATAGTCTCTAGAATTATATAAGAACTATAATTATTAAAAAGAAGTATTCTATACTTTTTCTTTTTTACTTTTAATATCTCTAGCTTAAATATTCTTTAAAACTACTTAATATAAAGCTTATTATCTATCTAATTCTTTTTGGAGATATAAATATAGCTATTTAGTAATATTTTAACCTAATTCTTATAAAAAACCTTGGCCTTAAAAATAATAAAAGAACTAAGAACTTGTCTATTTAATAATATATACTTAATTAATGAAATCTATTCTTAGCTATTTTATTATATAATTTTTGGCTTCTTTATTTTCCTTAAGTAAATAACTTATATCTTAGCTAAAATTTCTATTATTATTTTTTTCTTATCTATATTATAAATATTATTATTATATATATTATACTTTGCTTTTTTTATTTAATAAAGCTTAAAATATCTCGTAATCTGCTCTAAATCTTTTATAATAACTCGGTTTTTATTAAGTAGCAGAATAATTCGAGATTTGAGATCTAAATAATAGTTAAGGAAACCTTAATACTAGTTAATTTCAAGAGAATTCATAGTTAAATCTTTGCTTTATATTTTTAGTAACTTAATTACTATCTTTTAAACCTAATAAATTATTAGTAGCTATCTTTATATTTCTAATTTTATAATATATTATTAGATTACTGCCTCCTTAATTAGTAATAGCTACTATTATACTATTATAACCTTTACTTTTAGTTTTACTCTCTTAATTTAATCTCGAAGTGTTTTCTAATAAACTCTATATTCCCTAATAACTTAGTATATTAATATCTTCTTATTTTAGTTGAGATAGTAATTATAGGCCATTTGAAGCCTTATTACTTTAGAGACCTTATTAGAATTGCCCTTGTATTCGGGATAGTAATTTTTCTTGATTAGTATTTCGGTAAGTAATAAAAGATTCAGAAATTAATTTATATAGTAGTAAAGTATATTATAGTAGTTAAATAAGCATTATTTAAGTAGTAATTAATTTTTTCTTCTTGATTTTTAGTGGGATATATATATAAAAAAAACCATACCTTTTACTATCTTACGGGCGATTCTAGCTATACTACAAGGTTAAAATGAATATAAAGTTGTCAGGATATCAAAAATACTATGGGACGTTATTATTTAATAGGATTTGTAATTATAATGAAGGGTTAATTAAAAATCGATTTTTTTAGGGTGGGCGGATGGGGGTTTGGGCGGTTGGCTAGTGGATACTTCTAGTATTTGAGGTATACGGTCCGTGACAGAAAACGTAAGCAGGAACACCAAAAATTCAAAACCGTACGATAACGACGACTATACCACGTCCTCAAACAAGGTTTGTATCCTCTTTATCTTTTGGGAATTCTTGTGGAGTATAATTATTGGAATTCACTTTCAGATCCCACTGAACTTGCAGTGTAATTAACGAACTAATTGAACCTATGGCCTTTGCGAAATCAATCAAATCTGCAAAGCGTCGAATGAAAGGCCAAAGAGGGTGAATAGGGGGAAATAAAGTAACGTACAATTACGCAAAATATCACAAATACTATATTATATATAAAATTTTATTCCGTCAAACATAATGGTTACTAATTAAAGTTATCTATATTAAATAGCAAGCCCTGGCTAAAGTCATGCGATTTATTTCGTGCGAATACTAGGAGAGTTATAACGAGAATTTAAAATATAATAAATTGCAAAAACCTATAGGTAATTTTTAGCACCTGCTTGAAGAAGACACCCTTTTACCCTACTATGGCCTCCTTCTACCGCTGCTTGGAGAGCTGTCTTTCCATCAAATCCTGTTCCTGCTGCTGCATTAACGTCCGCATTCTCTTTGAGTAGCCGCTCGACAATAGCCAGGTGGCCTCCTCCCGCTGCTGCTTGGAGAGCTGTCTTTCCATCAAATCCTGTTCCTGCTGCTGCATTAACGTCCGCATTCTCTTTGAGTAGCCGCTCGACAATAGCCAGGTGGCCTCCTCCCGCTGCTGCTTGGAGAGCTGTCCTTCCACCATATTCTGTTCCTGCTGCTGCATTAACATCCGCATTCTCTTTGAGTAGCCGCTCGACAATAGCCAGGTGGCCTCTTCCCGCTGCTGCTTGGAGAGCTGTCCTTCCACTATCTATTCCTGCTGCTGTATTAACGTCCGCATTCTCTTGGAGCAGCCGCTCGACAATAGCCAGGTAGCCTCCTCCCGCTGCTGCTTGGAGAGCTGTTCTTCCACTCTCTATTCCTGCTGCTGCATTAACGTCCGCATTCTCTTGGAGTAGCCGCTCGACAATAGCCAGGTGGCCTCCTTCCGCTGCTGCTTGGAGAGCTGTCCTTCCACTATCTATTCCTGCTGCTGTATTAACGTCCGCATTCTCTTGGAGCAGCCGCTCGACAATAGCCAGGTAGCCTCCTTCCGCTGCTGCTTGGAGAGCTGTCCTTTCACCATATTCTGTATTAACGTCCGCATTCTCTTGGAGCAGCCGCTCGACAATAGCCAGGTAGCCTCCTCCCGCTGCTGCTTGGAGAGCTGTCCTTTCACCATATTCTGTTCCTGCTGCTGCATTAACGTCCGCATTCTCTTGGAGTAGCCGCTCGACAATAGCCAGGTGGCCTCCTTCTGCTGCTGCTTGGAGAGCTGTTCTTCTACCATATTCTGTTCCTGCCGCTGCATTAACGTCCGCATTCTCTTGGAGCAGCCGCTCGACAATAGCCAGGTGGCCTCCTCCCGCTGCTGCTTGGAGAGCTGTCCTTCCACCATATTCTGTTCCTGCTGCTGTATTAACGTCCGCATTCTCTTTGAGTAGCCGCTCGACAATAGCCAGGTAGCCTCCTCCCGCTGCTGCTTGGAGAGCTGTTCTTCCACTCTCTATTCCTGCTGCTGCATTAACGTCCGCATTCTCTTGGAGCAGCCGCTCGACAATAATCAGGTGGCCTCCTCCCGCTGCTGCTTGGAGAGCTGTTCTTCCACTCTCTATTCCTGCTGCTGCATTAACGTCCGCATTCTCTTGGAGCAGCCGCTCGACAATAGCCAGGTGGCCTTCTCCTGCTGCTGCTTGAAGAGCTGTCCTTCCACCATATTCTGTTTCTGCTACTGCATTAACGTCCGCAATCTCTTGGAGTAGTCGCTCCATAACGGCGAGGTGCCCCAAAGAACATGCCCTCACTAGTTCTTGAATACTCTCGTCAATAGACGGCCTTACTAGGTGCTTTTTCCCTCTCTTAGCACCCAATATTATCTCAAGCTGCTCCAGGCTAGATGTTTCACACGCTAAAGCGAATATACTCCTTCCTTCCCCCATCCAAAGATGGTCCCAGTAGCGGTCCTCTTCTGTCCTGATAATGTTCTGCCAAACATAAAAAATACTAGTATGACCCTCTCTAATTGCCCAAAGGAATATATTCCAGTGAGGTAACGATTTACTGTCTGGAATCAAGCTCCACGGTTTCCATTCTGGCGGTAGATGAGTTCCACGGACAAAATCTTCCAATCTTGCAAAACCTTTCACGTCTTGCCGCTCCACGTAATGGCAATGGCTGTGCCAGTACGCCTTGCAGTAATCGAAAAGTTGGAAGGAAGGAGCTATTCTTGAGGATTGCTGTGCGCTCAATTGAAATCTTAGAAGGTCAACCACGTCAATTTGCCTAGCTCTTCTTACTAGGCTGCTTCTTCCGTCGAGCAACGCTAAAGGTCGGATGGATGTCGGAAGAACGCTTGAAACTAGCCTAGAAGGCTGATTCAGAGCGCGTACATTTGTTGTGTTTGAAGTCCGTGTTACTGCTTGGTGAAAGTCCGTAAATGACAAATATTGTAGGCAAATATTTGTCAGATACGGCTCTGCTCTATGTTCTTCGAAAACAAAGCTGGTAATTCCCGGTATGTCGGAACAGCTTAATAAAAAGGATAGAACAGAGTGGTGAGCCAATAAGACTCTGTCGTTGACCTTATCGTATTTGACGAGGTTACCACATATCCTGCATAGCTTCGATGGATCCAGTTTAATAGAAGGGCTTGCCCAGGACGCCTGGTCCGCCGTTATGGAGACTGCTTCTTCAAGTTCTCCGATGGTTAACGGCCGTTCCCCCCAAATAGCCCACTGAAATATCTTCTTCGCTATTTCAGCTAGCTTAGTATCATCTTTAGAGAGCTTGAGCAATGCGAAGCGGTAGAGTTCCGTCACTTTCTGCGGAGGGTTCGCGAAAAGATCAGGTATTCTATCTGGAGTCCCATCTTCCTCACAAACGTCAAGGATAGCTTTAAATTGCATGTCTACCCAGAGAAACCTTAATAACGATATTAGCGAATAATTCATAATTATATCGAGGACGAACGCTGTTAATTTAAGACTAACATTTCTTGGGCCCCAGAGAGTAGCGCGTGTTTAACTGTATCGAGTAGAGAATTCGAGCACACTGAGAGCCCATCCTGCACATGCTCGTCAATCTTGCTTTGAACAAAGACTTCAATGTCGCCTTTGACATCTTCTGGATTGATTTGAAGTATTTGGCTTGGGTGAAGGACCTTTGACATGTCCAAGTCTGGGTGATTTGTGGCAAGTATTCGAGCACTACTGAGCTTTTGGGTGGCCTTGAGGAAAGCTATAACATTCCTTTGATGGCTTTTATCCGCTTCGTCAAGCCCATCGATGAGAAGGAAAGCATTCTTGAAACAGCCGAAAAAGTATAGAAAGAGTTCTATAAGTTCGCTCGAGTCCGGCTCCGCCTGGTCAATCCGGTCCATGAAAAGCGATTCAAGACGTCTTTGTGAGTAGGGGAGAAGAGTCTCAAGCCTAATTACCTGATGTAAAATGCATCTCAGGAATGTGAGTGTAAGCAATGTCGTCTTGTCGAAAGAGTCAAAAAAGTAGTAGATGATAACTGTGTCATCCCTAGCTGCGAATATCGTTTGTAGATGACTTATTATGTAACCCCTAGTGTTTTGCTTAGAATGCAGATATATCAAGGGATCCACGGAGGCTAGCCAGATTCATACATGAGTATAGTTTTGCCACACCCAGCTTTAAACAAGCAAAAGTCAGTATGGTTTTTGGCAAAGTGACAACCACATTCAATAATAGAATAACTCACGGATCCCATAGCACCAAAGATGCTTTGAATCTGTCTGATCAATCCAACCTCGGAATTCTGGTCTACCAAGGATCCAATGGCAGGTTCCTTCGCAACGTAGTGCTTGCGCCTGGCGGAGACTAATGGCGTAGTCATGATTCGGGATTCGCCTTAATAGCCGGATTTTCTGCCGCTCTAGGGTAGGGAATAATGAGTTTCATTCCCACATCTCTCCCTCTTCGACGACTTACCGTCTTCTTTCAGAATTTTCTGAACCTGCCGAGCTCGGTTTTGATGTAGCGCAAGCGTCTGCTGTTCTCGAAAGTCTTCCATTTTGTGCATTTCAGCTACTTGTTTTAATCGGGCCGTTCTGTTGTCCTCAATTTCAGCTGTTAACAAGCGACGAAAGCCGTGTGCTGCCTGCTCAGATGCAAGTTGTAGTTCTTCCGTAATTTCATCTTTGGCTAGACTAAGATTTTCCTCTATGTCTTTGAATTCTATTTTGAACGACTTCCATATGGACTTCAAGAACCTATTGATGCCTGTTGTGGGAAAAACAGGGGGGGGTTAGAAACCTTTCAAAATAATGATTAACTAGGACTTCAGTCTTACCTTTCTCTTGCGCTCCCTTTAGTGCCTTGGAGCAGAAGACAACCACAATAGCATAGAAATCCGAAAGTGCTTGTTGGAGTCTTAGGGCTTGCGGGAAAAGCTTCTCATATTCAGATAATCGAGGACAGTAGTTACTGAGCTGAGCAACACGCTCTGAGAGCTTGTCGAAGTATTCGGCATAATTCGATGAAACCTAGCCAACGAGCAGATATAAGCAATAGAAAATGGTAATACTATCAAGAACAAACCAAAAGAGCGAGCTTGATGCTACCCCAGACTAGTGACGCTATCTGGTTAGGCCCTGCATACGTGTCGACGATTGTACAATACTGCTGGACAGAAGATAGGAGTCCTTGGACTCGAGAGGCAAAAACACGGCTTTTTCGAGTCGAGTTTTCTTTCACAATATCGTTCGTGAGATGAATAACGTCATCAGCTGTTGGTGTATAGCCTTGGAGCGAATCGAGTTGCGCGGTTTGATCTGATGAGAGAATCTGCCGAAACTCGGTCAATGCTACAGCTAGATCGCTATGAGACCTTTTTGGGATAAGCCAAACGTATTCAATGGACTTGGGTTGGGTAAACCGTACATGTTGGCACGTGTGCTCAGGTGGACATTGACACAAGGGGCAGTCGGAATCAACGATTTTAGTCTCTGTTGCGACTGTTCAGATGTCAGAGTTTCCCTATTACATTACACCGAGCAAGAATTCAGGTGTGAGGCAAAGTGAAAGATGCTAGGCAATCGAGAGGTCTTTTCTTGTTTCTCGAGCTGAAGAGGCTGAGCAACCCAGCAAGGTTACAACTGTATTCAGTTTGAGCACGAGGTTTTGAAAGTCGTTCAGATTTACCTGCCGGTCGCAGCGACTGCGCCTCCACAAACCAGAGAGAGGTGGCCTGTTGAGGGTGTTGGAAAGCGACGTGCGCGAAGATTAGCAGGATCGTGGCTTCGCTGAAGGCAGTGAGGACGACTTGTATGTGCAACTGGGCGCAGGACCCAGCCTGGGGTAAATCAAATCGGAATCCCTGGCCTCAAGTTGTCAGGCATTGGGGATTGTCAAAAACAAACCCACAAAAGTGGTTATTTGGCACTTTAAGGGTAGCACTTTCCCCTTTCCTCTAATTCTTTAATAACTCATATCACTCAGGATAAGCTCACACGAAATGCTCGTACGGAGATTCCTGCGATGCACCGAATGCCTCACTATGGTATTCTTGCTTCACAGGGTGTCGGTCAACCTTTACGAAGTTAGGTTCCCACATCACTCAGCCGCTCAAACCTGAATTTGGCCACGACAGCACTATAATTTCGAAAAACTAAAATTGGAATCGGACTTTTTGGGGCATTTTCCATCTTCTGAGAAGTTTTGAGAATTTTCTAAGCACTTTGAAAATTTTATAAATTTTCGGTGTTCCGACAGGGGTATAAATGGGCGGCTGAGTGGTTTGGGCGTTTGGCTGGCGAACCCTTCTATGCCCCACGTTGATACAGATCGGATGCGAATGTCCAGATGCCACCTTTCTATGACCCTCCTTCCATCGTTCCTTTGCCATGGACGGTTTGTTCCGAGTTAAACCATACACGTGATAATGTAAATTCTTGGTTGCAGGGAAATCGGGGGTCGTGAACTCGGCACGTACTCGGCTGCAAGAACCGGGGGTACCTGCTAACTCGGTTACAGTAAAACCGGGATTATGAGCCGGAGATCAGCCCGGTTAAAGCAGCCACTACTATATGAGCCAAAATAAGCCCAAAATCCCAACATTACAAATCATTTCTTTGATGGTCTAACGGTCATGATTTCCGCTTGTCATAGCGACAAAGCGCGGGAGATCGGGGTTCGACTCCCCGTCAGAGAGTAACATCTATGAGTTCATGTCCCTGAGCTTTGCTCAGACACCGCGAATCTTGTTTCTTCTTTTTTTCCAGTATCGATTTGGATTTGCATTGATGCTTAAAACCCAAAATCACATTTTTTATATTTTCTTTTTGAGCATATTCTGTGCCGCTAAGCGAGAGGAGGCCCGAGACTAGGTCCACCAGCGATATCAAGGCGGTCTGCAGGCCATGTGCGGGATCTAGGGCATATGGGGGGAAGGTTCTTCCGGGAAGCGAAGCTGCGGAACCCTGCACGTGCTCTTTATTAGAAAGATTCAGTGGGGTCACTTTTGAGATTTTGAAAGTGCAAGCTTCTGAGTGACTTCTCAACAGAATGCAAAGAAGCGGTTAGCAGTGAAGCGGTGAGCGGTGAACGGTGAACGGTGAACGGTGAGCAGTGAGCGGTGAGCGGTGAGCGGTGAAGAAGCGACGTGACGTTTCAAGAGTGAAAAGGGGGGAGTGCCGTAAGCAAAGTTCACTGTGCTTTCGGACCACGCTTCTTTGCTTCTAAACCAAACTACTCTCCCAGTCCAAGGCTCACTACAACGCCATGTCTGCTGTGCCATTCATTAGCAACGGGACCCAAATTGTTCAACACTGGAACTTGGGTCTAGCCCACACATATGACCACCACTTTTCCTTTGCCAACCAACGTTCCATTCCCCGGCAATGCGATTGGGCCCAAGGGTCTTGGTTACATGGGAAATAACACGCAAGGACGCTCCTTTCCCTGTCTCATAAGACGCTCTAGGGCGATCAAATTATCTTGGCAAGGTACCACGGGATCGTGCGATTCGTGCCTCCCTGAAGCTGGGGGAAGCAAGGTCTTGCCCTTTGAAGGTACATCAAGCTGAATAGAAATATGAAGAACTTCTATATTGAGTTTTCCGGTTGGCATTAAAGGTCAATAACACATTGAGCAAGAGCAAGAACTTCTCCATCGTCTCGCCCCTCACAACTACCCCGCCATGACTAAGGCGATAAGCGACAGGGGCTGCATTGGTTGACATCGACCACACTCCTCCACTACCACATCTTCACAGAGCAGGACTCACACTCTCTCCTTAACAAGCCATCAAGCCTCATTCATAATCCTAACTGCCCACCATGTCTGGAATGCACTCCCACGACGGCGTTAACTTCCATGCTTCTCATGGTCACTCTCACGATCTCCCCGCCGCCGATCACGGCCATACCCATGAAGTCCTTGATGGGCCCGGGAGCTACATGGGCAGAGAGATGCCAATCATTGAGGGAAGAGACTGGTCTGAACGTGCTTTCACCGTTGGGATTGGAGGGTACGTAGCTCCTCTTGCCCGTTCGAAAGGATCCATCTCATTAAGGGCCGGGTTAATCACGTGCGAGGACATCACCCTCCCTCCCCCTTGCGCAATTATTGATAGCAATATCCTCATGCACGGGATGCCTTCTAAAGAGCATTCGTTGATAGTTATACAGTCCCGTCGGGTCAGGAAAGACGGCTCTGATGTTAGCCCTCTGCCTCGCACTCCGAGAGAAATACTCCATTGCAGCAGTGACGAATGATATCTTCACCCGCGAGGATGCCGAATTTCTGACAAAACACAAAGCCCTTCCTGCATCGCGCATTCGTGCCATAGAGACTGGAGGTTGTCCTCATGCTGCCGTTCGGGAAGACATCTCTGCCAACCTTGCCGCACTGGAAGACCTGCACCGCGAGTTCACAACTGACATCCTCCTGATAGAATCTGGAGGCGACAATTTAGCGGCGAATTATTCCAGAGAACTAGCTGATTACATCATCTACGTGATTGATGTCAGTGGTGGCGATAAGATTCCACGGAAAGGAGGACCAGGCATAACGCAGAGCGATCTGCTGATTGTGAACAAGACCGATTTAGCCGAGGCTGTGGGTGCAGACTTGGATGTGATGGATAGAGATGCGAGGAAGATGAGAGAAGGTGGGCCGACTGTTTTTGCGCAGGTCAAGAAGGGCAGGGGAGTCGATCATATTCTGGGTCTGATCGAGAGCGCATGGAAGGGCAGCGGTGCAGAGGCGGTCACTAAAGAGAGAGGTGGGCCCCATGCTACGGCTGGCTTGGATGAGCTGAAGTAGATTGCTTTTCGCTTTGGTATAGTTTGATATCGGGGCGGCTTTTTGGTGGGGATTCTGAGCAATAGCAAGCATTCCTTTGTGGCTAACGTTAACTTTATCTTGTTGGCTCCAAAATGTCTCCGAAGTCTGGGACCGGAGTTAATCTCAGGAGTAGCAGCAAGAATTGGCTTGCCCTAGTTCTTGATTTTCCGAGATCGTGAGGTGTGGACTGGCATTCCACTTCGCACCATCATTGCTTTTTGGACTGGAATATGCACTCACATTATATTCCTTCCGTGAGTCTCTCAATATCTCCCTTCCCCACCCAGTAATCTCACAGTCTTCCGAAACACCAGAATAGCTTCGTTCTTCGTTCTTCTTTCGCTCACCCCTCAGTCTCAAGGACAACTTCTTTTCTAGATATCTCCATGTCATCCACCCATTCCTCAAAAGCTATGAACAACCGTCACATCAACCTCAATCAAATCGACTTAGATCTACACCGCCTCACCAATATCCAACTGGACACCATTCGTCAGAGTTATCCAGACAACGTTGCCGTGGGCGCTGAGTGGACCAGAAGACAGCCAGTTCGCCCTCTTTATATCACCCCAAAATCCACCGAGAACCATCTCATTACTCTCAACGGAATCGACCTCGATCTCCCCCACCTCACCGATATCCAATTCGACACCGTTCGGCGTGGCTGCCCTAACCATCCTGCTGTGAACGCCGAGTGGGAGCGTCGGCACCCCAGCCCTCCTGCTCCCGCGTATTACACCGCAGAGAACGAGATATCCGTACATCGAATCACTGCAATCGAAACGTATGCGTCAAGCTCTAGAAGCACTGATGCCTTTACAGACGAAATGGACTGGGAGCCCACGCAGTGGAAGCAGACAACACCTTCTGTGAGCCTCACCGCAGTCTCCCATATATGTCGCTGCCCTCCATGCAACATTCTCGAGTCCCGACAACGACAGGAGAGATCATATTTCCGAGTTCGAGTTCGAGCGATTGCCGACCACCAAAGAGGAATCGAAGAAGAACTCGAAGAGGATTCGGAAGTCGATGGCGAGGGCAACCACAAGGCAAAGGGCATCAAATACCCTTACATTCTCGGGCCAATAGCAGACACTGTTTTCGAATCTCATTACCTGCCAGGACCTCGCCTCAAAGATACGATTCGAGGAGACCCCATCGACCCCTTCGTCGGCTCAAGCGCCAATGGGTGCACTTATTCATCTCCAGAGAGCACCGATTCCGAGCTCGAGGAACCTCGACTCTTCCCCATCTCTCCATCGCAAGCATTCACCCCGTTCCACATTACTCCCTGTTTCTCCCTCCAATACCTCCCCGCAGCTTCGCTCCCAGAAACCCGCCGTTCCTCACCCTCGAGACAAGAAGAGCGTTTCAACTTCGAGGACAGCGCCGAGAATGGTCCAGTGATGAATCCTTTTGGGATCACTTCACAAAGAAATTTGCCTCGTGGAAATGAAAAGACAAAAGAACATTCGTGGTTTCAAGAGCTTGCGGCGCAGAATGCTTTGTTTAGCGCTCTCCCGGTCTTTGATACTATTATCGAGTCGGATGTCCAAGATGAGGATGCCCCTGAGACTGCAATGAATTCTCCTGTTGAGCTGATTGTTCCCAGTGTCCCGTACATTTCAGATGGAGAAGGGGATGCGGATGAGGAGGACAATGCTGTGAAGATTAGCAGGGAGTTAGAGGATGTTCGTCTTGCGGAGGAGGATGAGTGGCAAGAAGAGGGAAGCTCTCATGCGACGGGTGAAGGTGGAGAGGCGGATGATGAGGATAGGAATTTTGAGTTTGGTGAGGAGGGGTATGTGTTTGTTAATGGGAATGAACAGTCTGATACTGGTGGGTCGTGGAGCCTTTTGAGGACCTGGAATGGGACAGCGAGGAGAGGGAGCAGACGTCCTTCTTTAGTTGATGAAGAGAGTGAAGTCCGACCCTGGTAGATGGTGAGAGTTATGGACAGTGGAGGAGTTGGTATGGGGACCCTGTTTATTCATATCTTGCTTCGGGATGCGCGGTGTTACTGGGTATGGTTATTCCCTTGGACTCGGAATGGAGGTGTGAAAGGTATAAGAATTAGCAGTGAGAGACTCTATGTCTGCTCACCATTTTATGCATCCATAAAAGTGGATCACGCGTGGTGCTCCTCAAGCCACATCTGTCAGTCCTTCACGCTGTCTACCTATTGTAGAGATCTCGCTCCAAAATTGCCGAGTAGCGTGTCAGTCAACGAGAAGATGGTAAAGTGGAAAGAGCCATCAAGAGGACGAGCAACTTCGATTTGGCTACCCATTGTTGCCGTGATTCGCGTGTAAAAATCAGGGGTCGTCTCTGATTCCTTTTCCGATGTGTAGCGAGAGTAGATAGAGCGCAGTACCACTTTGCAACATGTCGGTGTGTTCTCGGCCTTCCTGAGGATGATGAAGTAAGGAAAGCTTCAAAGATACAACAAGATAAGCAGTGATCTAGAAGTACATCTGCATAACGACGACTCTGGAGCAGTCCAAAGCAGGAGGACCCTGCTGCTTGAATATAGATTAACTTACCGCTCTAGCTTTCGGCCAATGATAGCGGCCTTTGCTTCAGAGTATTGTCCACTTTTTAGATACTCAAACCTTGGTTTATAGATAACGCGTTTCCCCGCATAAAGCTCCCCAGATCCACTTTAGATTGGGTCGTCATGCGTAAGCCACATACGCCTCGATGCCGGCAGGCCAGGAGTCATAGCTGTAGGGTTTTGTCGGCGAGAGATATCGCGTTCCCTCTTGGCAATTTTCGAAATCTCGAAAAGAGAGACTTAGTTAGAGCTAATGGGCGTGTACGTGGAACAAAAACTGAATACTAAAGATGCGTTTTGCTTTTGCACCATAGAGAAGCTCGGCTCCCTGATGCTCCCGCGACCCGTCGATTTGACGGTCTAGAAGAAAGAACAAACGCCTTCTTGCTATGAAGGGAAAATTGGCCACAACTACTTGTCGAGGGTAATGAATATCAAGAGATGTTTTTATGGAGTACTGGGAGCTTTCGACCTTGTCGACTAGACTAACTATATGCAAGGCCTAAATGATAGCATGTGGAAACGTCACGTCCAAGACTGAAAAACTCAAAATCGCTCTGTATTTCTTTCTCCAAAATGCTGCGCGCAACAATTTATCTCATCCCACAATCCCAGGAAACCGGTACGCCAAAACAGATCCACCGCGATGCTGGCTTCACGAGAAGTCTTCGCCGCCTTCCTCGATAGCATTCTTGATCCTCAACAAGATAGTCGTCTTCCACTTATCAAGCTTGCTCATCTGGTCGTACAAGAACAGCTTCTCCGCAAACGCTTCCTGGTCACCTGCCTCTACTTGCTCTGTAAGATCAACGAGTAGCTGATGCTCTCTTGTGCTTGGAAATGTTGGGTCCATATCTCTGTATTTCTCTAGTGCTCTATTCGTGGCCACCATATCTCCAACTGCCAGATGGCAGAGGCCAGCTTTCAGGAAATAGTCTTTGACTGACCACTTCATGAGGTTGTTTGAGACCGAGGAAGCGGAGACTTTCTCGAAATTCTCGATCGCTTTGTAATAATCCCCGTCGAGGGCAGCAAGGTCTCCAACCTTGAGGTAAAGCTTGTTTGCCAGCCTGTATTTCCGTTAGATATGCCACCCAACAACATTGCAATGTACGTACGCTTCAGCATTGTCGCTCTCAAACCAACTGGCAGCCAACTCATAACTCTCGATAGCCTTCTTCTGGTCTCCGATCTCAACTTCGTAACACTCTGCCAAGTTCTGCTTGTGTGTAGCTGCTCTCCTGAAATTGCCCTTCGCTGTGTAGTGGTTGATAGCAACGTCAAGACATCGTGCAGCGTCTAATGGATCCGTCTTCCTGTAGACTTTGAATGCTTCCGTGAGGGTATTAGCAGCATCGTCTGGTTCGCTCAATTTGTTTGTCTGTATCTCAGCGGCACGCTCAAATGCTTGACCGGCTTCTTTGTCTGGTGGCCTCGTCAGCTCCAACCTTGACAGGATTCTGGGAGTGGTTGCGCACTCTGCTTCTGCATGCGGAACGCATTCGCAGCTTGTGTGTATAGGTCTGCTGCGTTCTCCCACTTCTCTTGTCGCCCCCCAAATAGACTGAATCCGCCACCAGCACCGGATGCTGCTTTGTCTGCCTTGCTGGATATCAATATTTTGGCTTATCGGGCAGCCGGATTGCGGGGTAGAATGCGCACCTTTTGCAGTAGAGCGCGAGGGTCCTGCGCCATATTTTCTGTGATATTAGGAGCTGTAGAAACTTGAGGCAACGGGGAATCTGTTCAGAATGTATGAGCTGGCGTTGTGGTTGAGTTTGGAGTTTGACATGTGTCCAGAGGTCCAAGTTAGCCACCCTCTGACGAAGTTCGCCTGCAGCTCTTCACCAGCACTAGCGCCATGCCTGAGATCTCACTCACAACTTCAAGTCATCTGCTAATTGCGGAGCTCGCAAGCAGCAATTGATAGCATTGCTCGCCATTCGAGCCCAAGATGTCTGGTTTTATATGTTCGCGTTGTCGCTCGTCTCTTCGGAGAGTTTTGCGCGCCCAGTCACGATCCATCAATAGCTCCGTCCGCAACTCCAGCCCCGAACCTCTTCGCAACAAGCTTGTTGACATCGATGCTCTCCTCTCTAAACCCACCTGGTCCGTCCGTTCGCTCCTCCCAGATCCCGATGCCCCTCCATCAGAAGAAATCACTCCCGCAAAACTACACCACCTACTTCGTCTCTCCGCGCTTCCCCTTCCAAAATCGCTGGTTGAAGAGGCTGAAATGCTGAAAACGTTACATTCACAACTACATTTTGTGAAGGATATTCAGAAGGTGGATACAGAGGGCGTAGAGCCGTTACGGAGTATCAGGGATGAAACGGAGGAGGGGGTCAAGGAGATTACTATTGGGATGGAGGACTTGAAGCAGGCGTTTGAGAAGGAGGAGATTAAGGGAAGGAATAGGAGGCCCAGAAGGAGGAGAGGATATATGGTGGATGCACAGGGGGTAGAGGATTGGGATGTTTTGGGGACGGCGGGAGAGAAGGTTGAGCTGGCTGGAGGGAAGTATTTTGTCGTTAGGAGTGGGAAGGAATAATTATACCCCGACAGAAATGTAAGAGATGGAAAACACAAAGTAAATGGCCTCTCATACCGGGTGTTGAGGAGGTCGTAACAGTTTATCTTGAATTGCTCTATCTTGGATATCGTGTGCTCGTTTCATCGTGTGTCGAAGTTGACCAAAAAAGTAGCGCTCACTTCTGATGTCCCACGTCAACTTGGACATCTCATTGCTGCCCTGCCGTTCTTCCCTTTCGAAATGTTCCCTCAATCTATCGTACAATCCACGTCTACCCCTTTCAAATGTCTTTAGAAGTTTTAGAACATTCAGGTCCTAAATGTCTAGCATGACTTGGGACGTCGAAAATCAGTGCCGCTTTTCTGTCCACTGCGAGCATGTATTGTTACTTTCCAAGATGCAATTTCTCCGCCGCTCTCTCCATCAAGGTCTGGTCCGTTTTCTTCTTAACCTCCTTCTCCATCTCTGCTGCTTCGGCCTCTGGATCGACCTCCACTCCTCTCTTCTTTTCTTCTTCCTTCTTTTCCTGTTCCTCAAGCAAAGCCAAAGTTTCTTCTTCTCTTGCTACCTCCTCAACATCTATGTCCTCGAACCCAATCTTCTCTAAGATTGATCCTACAAGATACTGATAGCGCAAATGACCGCTCACCATCTCAGAGACATCGACATTCTCTATTCCTTTGACATCTTGAGCGTCTTGTAATCCGGCAACGCCATACTGAATGGCACTTGTCCGAAATAAAAATGCTAGAATATAATCATTCTTTGAGTAGACATTAATAAGCCGTCCTGCAACGACGCTCCTCATTGCCCTCCAATCGGCAGCGTCGCTTGGAGCAGGCGTTCCTATCAGAACAGCGGAATCCACCAGACCGAAAGCTCGACGCTCTGCCAGGCTCATGAGGCAGGAATATATGAGCCTCGCGCCTAAGGAATAGCCGATTAATGTCACTGGCCTTTCTCCTTGTGCTTTGTTGATCAGAGCATCCGCGAGGATCAAACCAGCTTTATCGGCGCGGTTTTTTGCAACAGAGAACGGATTATCCACGACCTTGGAAACCTTCAAGAGGGCTACGGGCCACAAAGCCTCCATCAAACTGGCAAATATCGTTCGAGCAATGATTTCCTTCTTAGCAACAGTCCAGGCAGCGCTCTTGACGACGGATTCCATCGAACTCCCCAACTTGGTCAATGCTTCTAATTCCCATCTCAGAGCAAAGACTTCACTCTGGCGCCCCAAGGCTCTCCATGGAGTGATTATGTCTTCTTTTTGAGTAAGCCAACCACTTATCCCCACAGTAACCCTTAGTCGCCGGTCCTCAGGTTTCTGTTCGTGATGTCGAGAGCCTTTCAAAGGCAAGAATGCGAAGTCCTCCACCTCCTTGGCGTATGCATCCATCATCTTCCCAGTCATTCTACCACCGTAAGCTCCAAACAGACTGCCCACGATAACGCCACTTTCAGCCAGAGCTCCGAGTAATCCTGCCGCTGTCGTGGCACCTAAGCCAAGGCCTCCCATGATTGTCCCAATAGCCCCGGCAACCACTACAACGAATCAGCAAGATATTTCTTTGGGAGGGGGGGAGCTGGGAGCATGTCTCATGTTCTCAATCAGTGAAATAGGGAGCTCGGGGCATTGGTCAAAGAAATAGGTTGGTTACAGGGGGCAGCTAGTCCTCCAGTGACACCTATAATCGCCGCACCAGCCACCCCTGCGAGTCCCACTTTCCATCTTCGAGCGACTTTGTTCTCCTCAGTTCGTTTGTGTGCTTCCTCAGTCCCTGACATGTGCTTAGCTGCTTCAAGTAGACCTTGTGCAACCTTGACTTCATCTTCCGTGAGAATGTGCAGTGGGAGATGCAAGGAAGAGCTAATATGTAGCAACAGCACCCGAGAGTGGGCCACATAATGCTCGAGAGACAATAACAATAGCAACATAGCATGTAAAAGGAGTATTCGTCGATCTTTTGGTAGGCTTACGAGGGAGGTAGAGGTGGGGCGGTATAATTCAATTAGAGCAGCATCAGCTTCCTCAATATTGGTATTTGACCCTGGTTCAATCTTTAGTCGAGTTCTGACAGTACCTGGAGAACCACTAATGGGAATGCACTCAGGACTCACGGATGACTTTTGGCTCTGCGGGCGCCGACGAGTCGGTAGTTGTTGCTGCAGTTGCCTTCTCCTTCTTTTCTGCAACCACCTCTTTTGGGCTGTTCACCACTGCTCCTACCCTGGAGATGACAGATTTTCGCCACTTGTCGAAGAAATCCAAATATGCATTCTTCAGCTCGAGCATTTTTGGAGCACTCAATTCTTTTTCGCGCCTTTCTCTAAGCTTACGTGCCTTCTCTTCATCTTCAGTCTCCTTGTGAGGCTTGCTATCTTCAATGTTGGGGTTTTTGTCTGTCACATGCAGAGCTTGCTGTGGTGTATTTGCAGAAGTAATTGAGGCATCGAAAGTGTCGGTAATGTGCTTGCGCATGACCTCCGTGATGTTCGCGATAAGTAGCGTCAACTCGACCTGCTCCTCAGTTGAAAGGATTGCGCTGAGATCTGCTTCAGGGTCTGGAGCGGACTCAGTTTTTCCATCTGGGGGAGCCATAGTGGAGAGTGGTCGTGGTCGGGAAATATTGTGCCAAGACAGAAAGTTGTCGACAATCGCGAGGGGTTCCTGAAGATAACGTTCGTCTTTGGTCTCCCTGCATAGACCCACTTTTAATTGGCGAGTCAATCACACGCCTGCAGTGGGGGGAAGGGCGGCACCGGATTCTCAATGGCCCAGTCGAATTTGAACAATTAGTTCGACTTTTAACATACTAAACCTTCCGAGACAATTAGAAGGGTTGACTAGACTCTGAATGCAAAACAGTAAGAGGAAACATTTGGAGAGACGGTATCTAAAATGTTCCACCTAGCTCGGAAACAATCCAGAATAAGCGTTACTTGTGTTGTTCACAGTGAGAGAGATTAAGGGATAATTTTGGCCCCAGCCACGCCGATATCTTAGCCATGTGAGAAAATACTGAGTTGCAAATGGAGTACCGTAGCGACTGCCCATAAATTTGTTTTCCAGGGAATGTATGGGGCTCCAGCCCGACCATCGAATTCAAATACTAGGCAGGCAAGTAACTGAACTGTATGCTCAGGATTGAGATCGAGACATTCATGGGCAATTGTCAAAGGAATGACTTCATTCTGTTCATTGGAAAGGAAAAGGTCAGATACCCCGGCACAGAAGCATCTACAGATGCTACAATTTGGACTTCCAGAATCGTCTCCAAGTGCGGGGTGACAGAACAACCCAAAACTAGTCCCAGGGGCGAACAATATCCAACATCTACTCTGTATAGGTACTATCGACAGTCAAATCTTTCAGCATTTGCAGCCTTTAACCTGGCCAACAGTCCCTCAAGTTGGACCCAATATCAGTATAGCCTTGTACCTCCTCATTGCAGTAAAACAAGAGTCCCTAGCTTTTGACAGTTTCGTGATTGTATTGCCGTCATCTCAGCTTGGACCTTGGTCTTTAAAAGGCGATTTGACATGGTTAAATGGCTTCTGACAACCGCGGCGGTGTCCTCGAAGGTCGCAACGGTATTTCTGTCCCCGAGAGGAATCGGCTCTGCCTTTTCCTGGCAGATTCAAAGATATGCTGCGCTACCGCGCTCTTGACCGCAACGTCTCAAGTATTAGCCTCCTTTGAATCTTTGCTAATCTTCGTTGCTTCGATTCGAGGATGCAGGTCTGTGGAGTCCTTGATTGCCGCATTCTCAGACTTCGACCACAGACTGATATTTGGCCACCAAGAGCTTGATGGTTGAATTGGCTTCAGGGCAGCTTCGGTTGCTGAGATTCGGCTCGCTGCATTCTCGGCCTCTCGTATGACTTTGGCGTCGCCTTCTTTGGCTTGATGCTCAACATCTAGAAGTTGTCTACTTATTGCGTCAATCTTGGGCCTGCCATGATTGAACGAGAAAGTCTACTTTGCCAAATTGTCCTTCTCTTCCTGTTTTGCTGCAAGGAGGGGCTGAAAGACCCAAATCCCTATGCAGTGTAAGCTATCTCTTTTCTTCGCAGTCATTTTACGAGTATCAGATCAGACCACTCACCATTAACGATTCCGACGCTGGTGGCTAGAAATAGCGGAAGCACACCGCGGATTTTGCTCATTGTCCTTGGATAATCTTGATCCACCAGATCCTCCTGTTGTTTGTTGATTATTTTGGTTGAACACGGATGTTCACAAATAATCGACTAGGATCCTCGGTATAACTTCGGAAGACCCTGTACATACCCCACATATTAGGTAACCAGTCGCGTCGACCCACCACCCTTCCCAAAGTCGCGTTAACTGTCGAAGCAAGGCAAAATTCCAAGGACGGCTTTGACACAACTTCGGGACGTCGCATATCGGTCCAGCTTATATCTAGCATGCTATTCGGAATTCATGGCGGATTGGAAGGAGAAAGGGGTGGTCCCAGACTCGGACGATGAAGACGCCCTCGATAGCCAGAGCACCGCCTGTGACCACCAACCACCTAACGAAGAACAAAAGAATGATGTTCCCATCATTGAAAATGATTCGGAGACCCACGATATCGGGGGAAAAGAAGAAACAGGGTGTTCGGAACAGGAAGATTTGGAGAATTCCAATTCAGCTACCCCTGCCGCTCCTGACGAACTCTCTGAACAATCTCTCTCTGCACCAGTCCCTACTTCCGATCCCAAAAACTCTTCAAAGACGCATGTTGAGGGACATGATAGAATCCCATCTTCCTCTCCAAACTCTCCGAAAGTCTTTAAGGTTCCTAAGATGTTTTGGGAACTCGCGGAGGAGGATTTCCCAGGGAAGGAAGAGAGGTCCATTCCTAAACCAGGCAGTGGGAAATCAGCCGACGACGACGAGATATCCAGAAGTTATGTGCAGATCACCTCGCCAACATCAAGCATCCTTACCTCTCTTCCTGCAAGTCAGGTAAGCCTGCCCAAAAATGCTCCGCTCGGTCACAGAGGATCGACTCCACTTCAAGGCGGAACTCAAGCAGCAATTTCATCTGCCAACTCTATCGAAGAAAACGTTCATGTCCCGGGAGCAATGACTTATGAGGGACGTTCTCTGCGGCAGAGGAATCCTATTCAACTCCACCCTTACATTGTGGAGCAGGAAAAGTACCGCCAGACGTTGAAAGCACGGGGCATTGCACCAATGAGAATTGCCCTTTCCCAGGATGAATCGCATCGCAAGTCTCGTCAAACTGCTTCACCGGAACTCGATTCGCAAGAGAAAGACTCACAAGATGCCACTGAAACGGGAGATAGCCAGCCGATGGATTTCGATTGGGACCCGCTACTTTCGTCATCTCCCCTGAGGCCAGCTGAGAACGGCGCCGCGGCCAGTGCAGAGGGCAACGAGCATACCGCGACAGATAATGATGAGGGAGATGACGAAGATGAGGAATTTCCCGACATTGATGAGTTACTTTCAACTCGGCTACCCTTGCTACACCCAAACGGACCCAGACGTCGAATCAAATCCTACTTGACCAAGCAAAAAGTCCAAGTGTTGTCCAGGGCTCAAAACGAACGCAAGGGGAATCTGGTTCGTAAGGGTCCTTCGAGCAGCGTCTTCGGCGTCCCCGCCTCGCCACCTGCAACGAGTTCTCCATTTCCAATGACCTCGCATGGGTCCGCATCCTCCAGGTCTCACGCAAAGTCGAGATCCTTGAAAGAGTCAACTCAGACCATCTCAGCTCAGACCAATATCAATACAGACAAACTTGCAGACCTCCCAACGCCAGCAACAAGCGCTGCAAAGCCAATTCCAGTACTAGTGGACTCAGATTCCGAAGACGAACTCGCTGGCGAGCAAAGGGCCACTTCTTCGGATGAATCAATCCAGATCCGGAAAGTGAGCAAAAAGATTCGAGGTGTTTTACCTGCTTCACATCTTCGGTTAGATTATCAGCAAATAAAGCCTCAAGCTTCAGGCCGGGGTCATCGAGACGGTTTCAGTGTTTCGCCAGTCAGGACAGAACCTCGCCGTGGTGTCGCTCTTCCTAGGGCTTATGGGCCTTTGCAAAGTCCGTTAGCCTCAACCGGGCCTGGATTTGATTTCCTTTCGAGTGATTCTGACCAGGATGAGGAGGGAAATAGAGAGGGGGGCTTCATTTTTGAGGACAATCCTTCGTCGCCGTTGGACAGCCTATTCAGCAAATCTCGCCTGGGATTCGCGGAGGAGGATGATCGAATTGATGCCATGCTGCCACCCCGCAAACGACAGTCAACGAGCTCCAAGACTCGTCAGCGCAAAAGGAGCCGTGTTGGATCCAGCACACTATTTCAAGCGATAAACAAGCCATCTACCCATCAGCCAAAAATCACCGAACACCTTCACCGCACTCAACAGTCTGGGTCTCGGTCCAAAAGCTCCAAAAGAGCAAAGAAATCGGTATTAGCTCTTGGCAGTCAGAATGACGATAGATTAAGCCTCCCAAGAGAACCCCCGCCTCCAAGACTGAGTATCCTTGATGTTTTCGATGTCCATAGGAAAGTCGCTCAGAGTGCACCTCAGTTTATCAGGATTGCTGCTCGTACTTCTCGCTCTAAAGTAGGGCAGGGCAGGCAAAGCCCTTCCAGAAAGTTCATCCGGTTGGCAAATCGTGAGGATACACATGATGCGCAGTCGGTATTAGAGGACTGGAGAGAAGGAAGGATTGTATCGAAGACCCCAGACAGCCTTGCCCCACCCTCTGACCAAGTCTCGGTGCGTTCTTTAAAGGAAATTGAGAACAACAGACAGACAACATTCCAACCTCCAATTTTCAAATTGAAGCAACATCCACGGATCTCAAACACCGGAGGTGTGGGTATCCGACGCAAACTCGTCATTTCGAGAGGCAAGCAACGATCAATGAATGCTTTTGTTACCAGAGCACAAGGAACCACTCAAGATCCAAATATATTTCCGAGACAAGAACGCGCGATCTCAGAGGGGCTGCGAAAGGGAAAGCCTCGATACGTGCCTCCTGCCGGACGCTTTGCCCAGCTTGAGTCATCGGAAATACGAAATACTCTCCAGCATTCAGCCAGTGCGTTCAGGTCCACAAAGAAGACCCTCGATGCCCTTTATAGGATCTCTCGGAAGCAGCCCGTTCCCCAAGCCAATCTCCAGCTCAGTCGCTTCCTTGCAGATGAAGATGTGGTCCGTCCTTCCGTGGAACTAAGGAAAGCAGTTGGCGATACGAAGCCTGGTGTGGGTGTGACATCTCAGAAATCCAGGGATATTAAGCGCAACAGGTCAAGGCGCAAGAAGAGATTACCACAGCGGCTGGATGCAGGCGCAGCGGTCTATCGACAGCCTAGTGACCCTTTGATCTTGGAGTTTCTCGTGCCAGCGACCGAGCGTGAAAATAAAATCGTTGAGGGTCGTAAGCTGTTAGGTTTGGCTAAGTTTGGGACAACTTATCCGCTTCATTTTGATGTCTTCCCATTGCAGCCTGGTGTGTTCTTCCATGAGAATACATTCATCGGGAGTGGGCGTCTGTCTAAGGCCCTGCAGAGGGCTGGAGATATTTACCCTCGAAGCATCCGCTCACAAATATCTTTTGTGCTTGCTGGTAAAACCTTCACCTGGTGCCAATGGAACGAAGACGTGTCGTCCGAGATAGGCTTGTGTTTCGACTGGCTTGTGGACCAGCTGGCATCCAAGAGTCCGCCTCCGTCGTCTCCTTCCACAGTAGATGCTGCTCACGTCACCAGTTCTATCCTGGAATATGTGCACCACCATCTCAGCTTTGATAGTACTGATGATGTGAAGAATTTTTTGTGTCGGATGATTGAAATATTGCAAGATGCTTTCTCCCGCCTTGAGAGTGCTGGAGACGATTTCAACCATTCAGAGATCAGAGCTTGGATCGAAGTCGCGTCTATGTTCATGTTAATTCTGTTGGAGCTTCTTCGAATTGCTCGTTCTCGGAATGAGGACTCTGTGGCTTACCAGCTAGAGGATTTGATGAAGAGGAGCGCTACGCGATGTGTCAGGGATCTTCTGTCCCAGAACGTAGATCGTGTTCGTAACTTGTATGATGACCTGCAATACCTTTCGTTCAGGGAAGGCGGCATAAAGAGTAACGAGTATATAGTTCAAGGGTGGGTGATTGTCATGAAGGTCCTGGAGGCGGCACAAATCTCAAGGGGATCTTTTTGGGATGTTGTCAATCCGCAAATGGTCACTACCAATATGAAGAACGTCAGTGATGCTCGAATGATGGAGAAGCTTTGGTACTCGATGTTTTCTCTTCTTCCTCTATGCGAATTCGATGAATTTGGAGTGGTTATCGAGGGCCGCAGACAAAAGGTGTCATTCGACAACTGGTCTTTACCACAACAACTGTTAAAGAGGGTCTTTGCGCTCTACCACGCCGACTCGAGGCAATCTCCTGGCTTTAATGATTACTGCCAGGGTATTGTCAGTCGCTGTCATTATCTGATGGTCGAATGGGGCTGGTGGAACTGCAGTGGAGTGATCGGTACCTTGTTCGACTTCTTTGGTTCTCACAATCTCGCCCATCTCCGTAACGAGGAGGCGTACGCATCGCCACGCTTCTTGCAAGAACTCAACACTGAACCTAAATTAACGCTTGAAGCTGAGGACCGCTGCTTTCACATATTCCTCAAAATCGTTGCTCTTGCAATCAGGCACTTTGAACAGGTCGGTGACGGCAAGAGTATTCGAAATCTGGTTGCTCGCTTGCTGCCAAACCACAACAGACAATACCCCAAAGAGGAGTCCATCCATCAACGAGATTTGGCTTCCTTGCGCAACCATCACGACCTTCTTTGCACTCTCTACTGGGCAGCGCCACCACAACATCGACTATCGCCTACGCTAATTCAGGAGCTTGTTGTTGCTGATAATTCACACAAAGAGGCGTGTCTAATCAACCTCAGGGCCTGGGAGCAGCTCGCAAGCTTTGTCCTAACACATGACACTAAGCAGGAGACATACCAGCCCTTGAAGTCGTGGTATCGAGACTTCTTCAGCAAACTGGTTGAACAATATTTGCGAGTCGAGAGCGAAATTCGAGACCAAGCCCGCGCGCTACAAGGGACGAACGAGCAAGCACCACAGGAAAAGCAGCTACAAGAAGTAATTATGACGAACAGAGAGACTCTGAAGGTCACGCTATGCACGTTCGTAAAGGGCATCACTTGTCGAATCGAAGGAGCCCATTATCCCACAGGTTGGATGAACGCATTTGAAACATGTGAGTCTCGTCCTCTGATCTAATGTCCCCGTGCTGATTCTTGCGCAGTGCCTCTGGAGAAGGCGTTGGCTCTCCTTAAGGTTGATACACACAGCAGATCGTCTCATGCCTTACTCCACGCCTGCGTTGAAGTCGTCAACTCGTACATAGATCAAGTCGACGTGCGAGCTCTGTTGACTCAAGACGAAGATGGTATCAGCCCGACAACCGATGAAGCAGTGGCCTTTCTCGAGAAAAGTTTATTGCTTCCATTTCGTTCGTTGGTAAATCATTATCTAGATGCCACGTTGCCCTTGTCCGTTCACAACAACATCTATTTCGCCAACGAACTATACGAAGAGTTGATTGCTTGTTGGGCCCGTTTCGTAGCGCTCGTGACAGATAAATGGGAACAACAGGGCTACAGTTATGTAGGTATTGCTTGAATCATTCTTTCACATCTGCTAACTTTACTCCAGTCTCTGATTGATAACGGATTTGTCGGAAACGGACCAAATGCAGTCTTTAAGAATCGATCTACGAATGGCTCAGAGGCTCGTTACTGGCCATATTTTCTTACGAAACTTCTCGAGTACAAGAAAACGGATGTAGTCAAATTATACGGCCTCAATCGAATCTTCAACTTTGAAGTAGAGTGGCTCCTGAATCTTAGTGGTCCTAAGCCATCGTTCGAATCCGAATTCACACATCAACTTCAGAAGAGAGGCTTTTCTTTGAGCACAGAAATCTCGCGCAAATGGGCCCCCTCTCAAAAGCTTCGCGGTAACGTTCTCGCTTGGGCACCAGAAGACACAGTTGACTGACAAGACACAGGTGCGATTGGCACTATGGGGCGGGACATGCAAGAAATGACGAAAGAGATGACATACAAAAGTGCTAAACAGAAAGCCATGTATAATTTCCTGCTGGTTGAAGTTATGAAGAACATGCAAAAGCATCTCGAGGCAATGGATCCCCCCACTGGATCAAATTACGAAGTCTATCTCAAAATCGTGCAGGCCGTGGCTGCGACGATCAGACGTCACGGTACAGACATATGCCAACTGTCGCGCTTCTTCCTGGTTCCTTCCCGCCATTATCGACCCCCCGAAGGCGATCCCGAGTTTTATACACAGGGCATTCTCAAATATTGCAGTCACTTCGGTCTCCGACTCAAACAGACTTCCTTTGAGCTTTTCTATTACCTTCTTGGCGGCTGGAAGAAAGCCTTGGTTTCTGGAGAGGCGAAAATGCACGAACACAGAAGACATATCAAGAGAGCCATGAAAGAGACTGACTTCATGCTCTTTCTCCTGAACGATTTCGTCCCAGCTATCATCCAAACGGGCTTCAGGCATCTATGGAGTCGAGCGAACATGATGTATGCGGCATATCTTCCCCGCTTGGCCGATAAAATTGGAGACTACCTCAATGGCGACAAAGCTCTCGCTCAACCCATTTTCGAAAAAGTGATGAACCTACTTCGAATCATCATGAATTGTTTGCTAGCCAGGTACGAACATACGGTGCAGCTGAGGTTCCCATTTCCAAAGGCAGAAGAGAGAACCGTCAGAAGTATGGCTTGCCTCTTCTGGCTGGAGGTCACTCCTCACCTCGAAAACTATGTGCGAAGAGTCAGCAAGGAAGAGTCCTTGCAGGAACTGAACCAGCCATACCTTCGCTACCTGGAGCGCATGGACGACCGTTTGGATCCCCCACATGAGTGTAAACAAGACTGGATGATCCCACTATGGCCTGTCGAAGAGGGAAAGTGCCGTGCCGGCTTTGAGAAGGCTCTGGAGGATGACATCAGAGATAATATCCTGATCGAAGGTAGCAGAGGAGCGATTACGATTGGCAGGGAGGCTCATTGGGTTGAGCTGTCCTCTTACGATGAGTGGATTCCTACTTTCGAGCATGTCCTTCAGTATGGGCGCATAGGCCGACATGCCACTATTCCGGGAGTCGAAAACAACGAGATCATGAATCCAGAGTTCGTTTTCTGAGCACTCACACCCCGGTCATCATAGTGTAAAGAATGGATGCGACTTGTCGATGACAGGAATCAAAGCCGTAGGATAGTCAGAGTATGTATGTATGGATAGTTATGAATGAATAAAGAAAACATTACAACGTCCGAGGATATTCGAACAGTGTAGGTCGACCTTGGCTACCGCCTTTTATGACTTTCTGACGCTGCGAGGGGGCTAAAGGCCCCGTAAGGAAGATAAATTGCAGCCATATTATGTGTTGGTACAAGTACATTCTGTGGTGGGTGGTCGGTCAAAGTCGAGTGCGGTTGGCCTGCACGTGTTCCATCTCCACAATTTTTGGGCTCGGCCGCAGAGCCGCAATCGCGATTTCCAATTATTTTCAAGCTCCAACGATCCAGCTCCCAGCACTCGACCCCGGCCATCTGTCTTCAACGCCGCGCTCTCCAGCGCAATTTTCCACCGAATGCATGCCGCAGCATTCAATGCCCTGCGTGCGGCTCACAGACCCATATCGAGGGCCGCCTGTCGAATTGTCCCCGGTTCCAGATGTTCCCTTCCTCGTCGAAGCCGAAACTTTCATCGCTCGGCAGTAGCGTATCGAATACCCGATGGCACACCTGTGCCTACCAATACGGAGAATGCATCGCCACAGAGCTCGGAGCTGGATGAGTCGAAAGCGGATGAGGAGACGACTGAAACTACAGAAAATTCGGCAGAGGCAGACAACGCTCCCGCTCCCATAAGAAGGAATGGCAAGACTGTCTCTGGCCGAGCCAGAGGAAATCGCTCTAGACAGCCGGAAGGAGTGCCACCTTTTATTCTTCCGGAATCGTTCTTGGAGAGCAATGTCATGCTAGCTGGAGATTTGGTGAAAGAATCACTCGCAATAGTGAAGGGCAAAGAAGCCATATCCGGAGCCGATGACCCAGAGCTTAAGATTTCTGTTGAGACAGAGAATCAGTCTGCCGAGGAACTGGATAGTGGATCAAGTCCTACTCCTAAGTATGGCATAAATTCCGACATTTATACAGAAATCTGTGCCACGCTGCGGGCTGGTCTGGCTCTACGGCCCCCAAAGAACTCGAACTCAAATCTAATACCTAGACCCATCAGTAAGATTTATTTTCTTAATGTGCTGACTTCTATATGGGATCACTAAATTAACTGCACCGGATTATCAACGTCCTGAGTCAAGTTGGTTTAACCTTCCCTGGATTTGGATGAAGTCCAAATATTCTTGAAATCTGAGATGTTCAAAGGGGCTAGCTTTTCCAATGTACGAATTCGACCAGGCTTTTTGAGGGGAGGTATTCGGAGTGTCCAACTTGACTTGAGATATAGAAAATCAGGGCAGCCCTTTTTCCATCGCGGGCCCGTGCTTTCCCCAGACAGTTCTGAAGCTGTCAGCCCCCTCACTATTTTGGAGGTTTATTGTAGCACTGCTGATTTTATTGTACAGCGGTATTACAGTGTCCAATTGATGGCGGAAGTTCTTACCTGGACGCCATCGTCGAAAAGGTATCAGAACAATTGGGTGCAGATCTTATTCGTCTCGACTCGCAAGATCTTGCACAACTTGTTGGGCCATATTTAGATGAGAATATTGCTTGGAATTTGACCGGAAGCTCTCTCCTCGGGTATGAAGCGCATAGACAAGCGGGTAAACTTGAAGAATACGATAGCAGCAAGGAAGCACAAGAGATGGATGCCGAGGAAGCAGAGGGGGAGGAGGATGCAGCCCCAGGATTCGTGAGGTCGGCAAAGGCTGGAGAGTCGAGCAAGCGCATAATGTCAGCCATCTTCACTGCGTTACAACCCAATTCCTTACGCTCAAACCGCCCGAAGATGTACGGCCCGTTCAGCGTCTCGAATCCAAACGCTCTATTAGAAGGCACTCTTTTTGATAACAGCAAAGATTCCCCGCAAGGAAAAGCAACAAGTCCTGTTGGTTTCCAAACAGACGGGTGGGACAATTTGAAGATTGCAACAGCATTCGAAACTTTCGTTGGTGCATCAGACTTAAAACGTGCTCGTACTCCAGACAAAACTGAGGAGCCACTAGAGGCTGCGTCAGACGATCAGTCGAGAAATGTCATTGTACAGCTCTCAGACTACAAGGAGATGATGATGACTCTTGAAGGAGCAGAGTTGATTGGGAGGCTTCGCGAAGTTGTAAATAAGAAATGGAGGTCTGGAAAGAACATCATTCTGGTTGGAACGACGGCCATGATAAATGATGATGCAGAGCCAGCCCTTCTCAAATCAGAAATTCAGCGTTTGCAGTCAGATATCGGAGGCGGCCAGCAAAGGACAATATTCGTGCCTCCCGAACGAGGAGTAGGACAAGATGCGGCGATCAACATTGATGAGAAGACTCGCATCAAAAGGATCAACCTCAGGCATATCGAGGACATGATCCTGAAGCTCTCCGAAGGCACTCAACACCTTTCGCCAGCAGTCGTAGATCTAGAGAAAGATCTTGACACTGCCACGGTTTTCTCTGAAGGTCTTGAGGATGCTGTTTTCACGTATGCCAGGGTCCACAGGATTGCCATTACCATTCTAGGGCTCGAAGCTTACTTGAGCAAAGTTGATGGGCCTATATTGTCCAAAGCCCTGAAAGTTCTTTCGGCCAGTGACGAAGTCAAATTTGCTTGGGGGCAAGAAGAATTGAAGGAAGAAGACGCACAGGTGGAGGAAGTGCTGACCGATATTGATGCAGCACAAAAGAAAGCCAAGGATAGGCTCAAGGAGATTTCAAAGAAATGCAACCGACAGGAGAAGAAGTTACTCAGTGGTGTTGTCCTTCCCAATGATATCAAAACCACTTGGGATGATATACGCGCCCCAAAAGAGACCATCGAAGCCACGAAGACACTGACCACCCTGTCCTTGATTCGACCTGAAGCCTTCACTTACGGCGTGTTAGCCACAGACAAAATTCCGGGTCTTTTACTGTATGGACCCCCTGGGACCGGGAAGACTCTCCTCGCAAAGGCCGTTGCAAAAGAGAGTGGGGCAACAGTGCTGGAAGTTAGTGGAGCTGACTTGAACGACATGTTCGTTGGTGAAGGGGAAAAGAACGTGAAGTATTTTGCCCTATTTCGCTTATCATTTCAGTTTTTGCTCCGTAAACCCTATCCTAATAACATACTGCTTGCGAGACACTATCTTGACTCCCAATTCTCCCCGTTAGGGCAAAACTGACCCGAGCTCTGATGTTTAGGGCCGTGTTCAGCTTGGCGAAGAAGCTTTCCGCAGACCGACCTTGCGTCGTATTTATTGACGAGGTATTGCTTGTTCTCATATTCATTTGCAATCTTTCCCTATCAGATCTGAGAGCGCGAGAACAGTCCAAAAAGTCGCTCGCATTTCTGAGTTTCTACAAATCTTGTTGAAGTCCAGCACTAACTTGAACGCAGGCTGATGCTATTTTTACTGCCCGAGGCGAGACTAAAAGAACAGCCCATAGGTAAGGCTTGCCCACACGTTAATTGGTGCTTGTTTTCTTTGGCATTCGAGAGCTTGGGAGTTATAGGTCCTTCTATACTCTCATTAAGAGCCACGACAGCTCCGAGCCTCACAACTCCTTTACGCCTTTCTCAATCTACTTGCTGACTTGCCACGCTTTTCTAGGGAGCTGATTAATCAGTTTTTACGGGAGTGGGATGGAATGAATAATCTCTCAGCTTTTATAATGGTAGCCACCAATCGACCCTTCGATTGTAAGTATATTTCCCCAGGCACCATTTTCGTCCTTTGAATTTGTCACGGGATATTTCTCTTTAGATTCGTCTATTGAGAAAGAACTCATGAATCGCTTTTTCAGTTACCAGTTCTTTCTCCTTAGGCAGTACTAACGCGGTGGTCATCCAGTGGACGAAGCTGTCCTCCGCCGCCTCCCGAGGCGCCTGCTTTTAGACCTTCCGGTGGAGGCAGACAGAGAAGCAATCCTCAAGATCCACCTCAAATCAGAGATCCTCGATGAATCAGTCTCCCTCTCCCAGCTCGCAAAAGACACCACTTTTTACTCTGGATCCGATCTGAAGAACCTCTCCGTCGCAGCAGCTTTAGCATGCATCCGAGAAGAGAACGAAGTAGCAGCCAAGCACGCTAGCGACGAACCTTACGTCTACCCCGAGAAGCGAATCCTTACGAAAGCTCATTTCGACAAAGCAATGGAGGAGATCAGTGCCAGTATCAGTGAGGATATGAGCACGTTGACCGCGATCAGAAAATTTGATGAGAAATATGGTGATAGAAAAGGAAGGAGGAAAAAAGCTGCAGCGTTGGGCTTTGGAGGCACTACGATCGTGGAGAAGGATTCAGAGTCTGCGCGGGTGAGGAAAATGGAGGCTTGATGGTTGGTGCAAGACCTTGCATAACGCCTTCACGTCAGCTTGCTGTACCTTGTATAATTTGAATGTAACAGTAGATAGAGCTCAAAATAGACTTGATAATTGGAGAGCGTACGAGCTTGCCTCTCGCTGATTGTTCTGAACCAGCGCAGGGACTCCGAGATTGTAAGATGTTGCTGCTTCAGCCTGGGCAATTCGGAGGGCTGGATTGTTCACGATTTGACAGCAACTCCGATATTCTGGCGAACCGACAACCCTTTGGGGCATATTTGATTGGATGAAAAAGCAACCACACGTCCATCAGTACAATGCTTTTGCCATTCAAAAGACACACACCATTGAATTGTATGATATTATTATCTTTAGGTGCGTGGCGTGGGTAATAATTGATTGAATCGATTCCACCTCGTGATCCTTGTTAGTGTGCAGAACACCACCAACTGATTTTCCCACCAGCTGCCTGGAGGCATTTTTATAGCAGGTGAAGCCTATAATTAAATTACAGGGGCTAATCTCCTCACCACCCTTCAGCTCTGCTTTGCAGGATTAGCAGGATTTATTAGTCTAGTAGTTGTTCGACCCCTGCAAGGGGCAAACTTTAAAGGAATCAAATTTCAATAGATCTCACAATCTGGCGCGAATAGAATACAAACCGCCATGAAATAGTAACAGAGAATGCAAGAGTTTTCCTTCTGCAGTCACATTCCCCCTCTTTCAATCGTCTAATTCCTTCCAAACCCGCTTTCAACATTCCTCACGAACTCCACAACCTCAAAACCCAAACGGCGAGCAGTCTTCTCGCCCATATTGGCGCCTTCTAGAACTCTAACAATAATGGCCGCACAGTCGCCTCGGATCTCCACTCCTCCCATCTTGTTCAGCTCGTCACGGCCGACTTTGTTCACATAGATTGTAAGATCGGGACCAACTATTCCACGCCACAGTGTGGCCATCCACTGCCAGTGGTCGACCGGCGCATATGAGTCATTGATGGGGATACGAAGCGCGAATGTATCAGAGGTCGACAGTGAGAAACCACGTGGAACGAGGGCAATGGGAAGGACCTTTCCCTTCGCGGTGGGTGTGGCGGTGACACTGACGTCGGTTGAAGGGCGGTCGGGTGATGTGGTGATGTATCTTGTCATCTCAACAGATTTCTTGTGCCATTCCGAGATAATGGCCAAGTAGTCAACGAATGGATCCTTTTCACCACTGTCTACCGTCGAGGCGGTTGATGGGATGGAGTTGGCCATTTCTGTGTCCACCGTCTGTGTTGCTGCAAACTTTGGGGTGGCTGTTTCCCAGGTTCTGATCTTGCAAGAGGGATCCTTGCTCAAATGCTCGTTGATGAATGCTCCAACCTCAATCAAAGTCTCTTTGTCCGGCCCTTCAACCGCAATGACGGCCCCTCGAATGTCTTGGGCTGGGCTGGTAGGACATTGTGCAAGCGGCGGAGAGATCTTGGTCAAAACCTTGATCTTATTCACGTATGGAATTGTCATAACCATAGCCTCAATACTCTTCGCTTGGATCTCGCGAGCTTCCAGGCGCACATCTGGTCTCTGTGATGTGGCTTGGGTGGAGCTTGGAAGCTGCGTCTGCAAAGGAGGCAAACGAAGAGATTCGTCGAAGGCATCGGACCGAGTTGGGTAGCGTGCGCGTGATTGCTGGTTCATGGGTGACTGTTGCGGTGGAGGTCCCATTGTACCAGGTCGAGCCATCATGCCAGGTCCAGGGATGGGAGGTTGTCTATACCCAGCAGACATTGGCGGTGCCCCATTTCTGGCAAGGGATTGAGGCGCAGAGTAGGAAATTGGCGAATTTGCTGTGTAGCGACGTTGGTTCTCTTCGTTGAACCGGCGACGCTTCTGACCTGGAGAGGGGCTCAACAAGTCCATATCTTCATCTCTTTCACGGTGGGTTTGAAGAGGTTGCGGCGGAGGGTATTGAGCCCGTCGAAGTGTCTGTTGGTAAGGAGGCAGGCGAGGGGTGTCAATCTTCGGGTTTTGAATTTGGCCTGAATACATTGGTATTTCAGTTTCCGTAGTTCGAGATGGGGTGAATGGTATGAGAAGTTCGTTTCGGGGGCCAGCTCCGAAAGCTGGAGTAAATGGTGTTAAGGGTGTGCTTGGCGTTGAGATATATCGTCCGTTGCACTTGGGACAGCGGACGGGGTCGTCTGCAGATGAAGAGGAAATGGGTCGTAAACCGTTTGATTTACCAGCTCGTCGAGGCTGGTATCGATAACCTGGATATTGTCGTTGATGACGTTGCTTCTCTTCCTATCCATCAAGCATCGGTCAGCCAGGTCATCTTCACATTCAAAGCAGTGTTCTATACCTCGGCCAGTCGTTTCCAATCACTCTTCACTTCAGGTGCTTGTTCTCTCCACTGTTCGCCGATGATTTTAGATATTTCAGGGTTGGCAAGTCCGGGATGTTGGGCGACGACTTGTGCTTGGTAATGTTGACGGTAAAGAATGAAGGCTACAAAGAATATCAGTTTTCGAGTCTCAGTCAAAGGAGCTTTGGGCAGGTAATAAAGGAGAAGGGGGACGCAAGTGCGATGAAGGACCAATAACACATTGAAACTGGAAAGGAGAAAGGAGAAAGGAGCCGTGGACTGCTCACCGTTTCGAGGTCTCGGAATCTTAGGATCAGGTTGACAAAGACAGACTTGTTCCCGTGTTGGATCTGATGTTGGTGGACCGTTGGTGCTCGCGCTGTTAAGAGCCAGATCTCCTATTCTGGGGTCGTTGGCACTATCAGTATTCAGCGATGCTGCTCGCTTTCGTGTCAAACGGGTCCGTGGAGAAATGGAAGCCTGTTGCTCTACGTCTTTCTCTGGAAGGGCCTGCTTCAAGGAGTCACGCCGACTTGAATCTGTTGAGATGCTCACTGGCGACCGGGGAGTGTCCAAGTTCCGCTGGCCTACCTCGATCGACGCTGCCATCATGATGCGTCGATATATGGGACGAGAGGGTGGGAAGATATCGTCGAGATACAGGATCTAGGGAAAAGTAGATGCAGGATTGTATGATGAAGAAGGTATGAATGGCCTTCTTGTTGAGAACGAAATTCTTTGTATGTAATGCCCATTGATGAGCAGGAAAACAATGATCTTGCCAGTCGGTCCCCCAATACCCAGCAGCTAGGTGGTCCATTATCGCAGGCGCAGTGTCTTTGTTGTCTCGGGAGAGCCGTCTTGAGACGCAGCTTCGCAGGCCAGTTTCTTTGTCCCAATGGTTCCGTTCGCAGGAAACACCCGGGACTTCATAACCCGCTGACTAACCCCTGAGAAACGCAGAAATGAAAGCAGAATCTTGAGGAATGCAAACAACTCCCATGCGGTGCGTTGATTAGTTTACCCAGACTTTTTATATTCTTACATTTCTAAGGCGGAATTCGCTGATGGCTGGTTCTGAGGCCCGCGACCACCCTGCCAGGCAAACGCAGCCCCCGAGACATTCATTCCACAACGCCACAAACCGAAGACCCAGATTTTGAGAACCAAGGAAGCGCACTTCGCAGGCTGGTTCCCGTGATGCGTTCGTCTACGAGATAAACCCATTGCCTGTGGCGCCGTTCACGATCGCTGCACTCCGCCGAGCGTCAATGAATAAATCCTCGCACTCCCCCACATCCATGACATCAATCTGATTGCGACCGCTGACTCGCGCTAGGATGCTGGATGGCGTGAGGAGCTGCAATGCATATCTCAAGCTGATCCGCGAGCCGTGGTCTGCGATCTTGTCCAGGGCAGCTTCGGTAATCGACAGGCCTTCAACAGTCACTCGGATTCGTAGGATTCTCTTGATCTCCTCCGGTTCGTAAGCCTTTGTTGGGATAATGAGGAGACGGGCCAAAAGATCCGGGGGGATTCCATGTGCAGATACCAGGTCTTCGGTACCGCGGATCGTGCACATGCCTCTGTTTGAAGCAAGGATGACAATTGGTGAGATGGCCGACTCCAGGGCGCGGTTCAAGTAGGTGAAGCATTCAATATCAAGCATGTGAACCTGTTCGATTGTAAGTGGCATGTCATGGTCTCCAACTGCGGTACGTACCTCGTCAATGAACAGAACACCGGGCACTAGCTCTGCAACCCCCTGGTCGATATACTTGCTGACGACCTTGTTGATCTCTGCCCGCAATTTTTCCGTTATCTCGGTCATCTTTGGCTTCATCAGCTGACCCATCATACTCATGATATCTTGCCCGCCTTGTGGTCTAGAATTAGCAATGTCAAGATCGTGCAATGTGACATCCTGCACGATCTCCTTCTTCTTGTGCACTTCTCCTTTGGGGATGGGTACATATTCTTCCGCCTCCAAATCGAATTCCGTCGCATATGCATCAGATCTGCCAACGCGCTTGCAAGCCCCAGTGTTTGCTTCAATGTAGATGACATCTCCCACAGTGACTCTCTCCTTCTGGATGGCCTCGTAGATGCTTGGGTCTAATCGTAGCTTCTTTTGGCCTTTCGCGCTCTTGAGGCCAATGAGCAATGTGCTGATCGTCTTGCCGTAGCTACCCAGCGGGTTCTCGGCTTCTTCTGGTGTCAACTCTGTAACCTCGCCCTCATAGACCTCCTTGGTTTCCCGGACTTTCAAGCCAATAGCTCTCCGAAAGTTCTCCATCAGCGCCTCCGTCTTCTTGACTTCTGCAGAGTATATTTCGCTGCCTGTGATGGGACAGAAAGGCACTTTTGTGCCGAGTTCTTGGCTGATGGCCAGAGCGAGGGCTGTCTTTCCGGTACCAGGTCCTCCAGCAAGTAATATGGCTCTGCCAGCCATCTTTTGCGCTCGGATGAGGTCGACAACCACTCCACAAGCCTGCGAAAGGAGAAGGTCAGCATGCATCTCATCGCCAGAAACCCAAAGAGTCTAACCTCCCGTGCTGCAGTTTGGCCCACAAAGCCAGCAGCCTGTCTCTCAGCAAGTCCATCGGGCCGAAGACCGAGACCTTTGATGTGTGTGTGTGTAGCGGTTCGACTATCGCGGGCGTTGCCCTTCACTTCGCTGATCTGAACCATGGTGGTTGAGGTTGAAAGGATGGGTGAAGCAAGGCGAATTAAGGGGCGTGAGACGGTAGGCTTTCAATCAGGAGGCGGATCAAATACACGGTTGTTTGTCATAAGTCATTTCACTTTGTCGCAAAAAGTTCGCGTTCAGAGAAAACGCGCTCTTAAGCGATGAAGACCTGGACCCTTCAAGGCTGTCATTACTCACGTGATAGACAAGGCTGAGACTTGAAGTCTCACCACCGAGGAATCAGAAGAATCATCGCCGAAGTCTACAGGGTAGTGGGCTGAGGGACTTCCGGGAACGGGGTACTATGCCGAAAATGAAATAGCGAAATGGAGAAAGCAGAGCCAAAGCAACTCCCACTCTACCTCCTTTCTGCGAGAGCAGTCACTACTGTTCAGAGTAGCCTTTGCAAAGGGGACCCTGATGTTCTCAGATGATTTCAATTCATTATTGTTTTACTATCTTACACGCCCAGACTCCAGAGCTTCGAAGGCTCAAGACCCCAGACCGAATGCAAGCAGTTAGCCTATCGTGTAAGTGCGGATGAAGTATCAGCCGAGACGATTCGAAGTATGTATCACCCTTTTTGAGAGAGAAAATTCTCTGCGTAACCAACCATGCAGTGTCGTATCAGGAACATAAGAGAAAAGAAAGGAGGCGAGAATTTTGCTAAGCGTGGTTCTGCTGTTATTTCATGCAAAATCAGAGCATCTGTGGTTGCATTCTTTGTCGTTGATTTCGCGAACGGGGCGAGCTTGACCAATCAGTGCAAGTCATTTGTATCAGATCGCAAGTGCTGAGCAAGATCATGGCAAGCAAGGCGAGATCAATGCAAGTGAGCTTAGCAAGTTCGAGTGATCAGTGTTGGCATCGAGTCATATCAGACCGTAGCAGAAAAGAGTGGTCAGATTTTCCACTTTAATCTGCCAGGGCAAGTTGGAAAATGGAAAAATGGACCAGAAATCAGGAATATTGGTCATCATGTGCATGCAGGCATGTCATATGGATCCAGTCGAAGTCATAGTCTCAGTGCAATCTCGGACGAAGATTATGCAAGTCATGCGAATCGTGCAGTCATGGGCGATGCCTCGTATCCTGAAGCGGGTTCAAAGTCGACAGCTACGAAGTTCCGGGCGGTTTTGATGAGTCTCCTTGGGCTTGACCTGCCTGTTGTTGTTGTGCGAGGGCCTGATACCACAGTGCCACATAGTTCTGATAGCCTCCATCTAAAGGTCGTTAGTGAGTAAATCACAAACTCGTTTAGGATTGCGATCTTACAGGCTGCATAAGGGTCTTCGGCGCCAGCGGTGGCAGTAGCTTGTGCTGGTGCTTGGGCTTTCTGTTGTCCTTGTGGCTGAGCATACGAAGGTTGGGAGTACGCTCTATCTCCATAATCGTTTTGAGAGGCGCGAGCTCTGGCACCTCCGCCGCCGCCGCCGTTCTTCTGTGCCTGTCAAACGTTAGAGTGAGGTTAAGACAATGGCAACATGGACTTACTACTGCCTCAACTTTGTCCTCGATGGCACGCTTCGCTGCAGCGATTGCGTCCCGCGATCCAACCAGGCCGATTTCACGCTCAACCTCACCTGGACCTGAAGATGGCGATACGTTGATTTTACAACCGGTTGTTGCTTGCATATCCTTGATGGTTTCTCCGCCCTTGCCAATGATCATGCCGACAGCTTCAGATGGTACGAAGATGGAATCGTTGATCTTATCCGCAACAGCGCCGCCAAAGCCACCTCCATAGCCTGGATCTCGGCCACCGTCTCTTGAAGCCGGAACTCGGTCCTTGGTGGCCGCGCTCTTACTGTCACTCTCAACAATCTCCATGATCAGGTCTTTGGCTTTAGCCGCCGCCTCTCGGGAGCCGATCAAATTGACAGGTCGAAGGCCATTGACGCTCTTCTGTTCTCCAACGATATTGACATGGCAGCCACTTCTTTCCTGTAAATCTCTGATTGTCTCCCCTCCTCGACCAATGATGAGGCCGACGGTTCTATCAGGCACCATGATTTGCATGCTATCCTCGCCATCTCTTAAGGCTGGTTGATGTGACGAAGCGCGGCCAGGCGGTCCATCCCGAGGTCGCTCTGCAGCAGCACGAGCATTCGCAGCCATGCCACTGTCATCGATTATGCGATTGATTTCGGCCTTGGCTTTTGCTCGAGCAGCTCGAGTTCCTGTAATTTTGCATTGTCTGTAAGGGCCAGTCTCATCGGGACCCGTGATGAACTGTACCCTGCAGCCAGTCTCGGCTTCGACACGTCTTAAATTTTCGCCCTGTCTACCAATGATCAAACCAACAAGGTTGGATTCGATGGATATGGATTCAACATTGTCGTCTGCTCCTCGGGGAGGGGACCGATCTCGAGTGGCATAACCGCCTCCATGGGTTGGCGGGAATGCGTTTGGTGGACCTCTGCCCCTTGGGCCAGGAGAAAAGGACCGCTCGCGGTAGTCACGCGCAACAGGTCCCCGATCGCCTCGTCGCTCATCTCTATACGGATTCGAATTGTCTCGGTAGGCATCTCGACGTGCTGGCGGGGATCGGGATCGAGATCTAGAGTTTTGATATGGTCTACCACCGGCCAGGCGAGGATCCTGTGCACCGTATGAAGGAGGAGGTCGCTCATACGAGAGACCCTTTTCCGCAGCAATTGCTTTCGCCTTCGCAATGGCATCCGTTAAACTGACCGTTCCAGAGTTCACAGGCTTGATACTGCTAAGGTCCACACTCCCCGAGCTCGTAGGTTGTGGTAAGGAGTATCCGCCTTGGGGTGCGTACAGATTCTGTTGTTGCGGTGGATGTTGCTGAGGTGGTTGTTGGTATGCTGGCTGCTGATTTTGGGCAGGAGCGACCGTAGGCCTTTGAGCAGCTAATAAAGAATCAGGCGACGCTCATAGTAGATAGGGGGAGCATTCATACCTAAAGCCGCCAGAATAGATGTGATGCTAGGTTGTTGGTCGGCCATGATGCTTTCTTTGCGCTGCCTTTTGCGCTGAAGCGTAGACGACGACTCTCGGTTCTCGGTAGGCTCGTAATAAAGAAGTGTTGCTGGCAACTTGAGCAAGACTTGATGGTGGTGCAATGCAGATGACTCGAGACTGCAATTGTGTCTTGGTGGAGATGTAAATTGTCAAGGGGGAGTCTTGGATAAATACTTGAACAATAGGACTTTGTCTAGAAGATGGGTCCGTGCCCGGTCACGCGATGCGGCCGCAGCGGCTCAAAGTTCTAAACTAAAATTTAACGACAAAATTCACTTCAACGACACTTCATTGTTTCCAAAAGCCTTGTCCTACCTGCTCTACTCCCTAAACGCTGGCAATGTGCTATATTAGAGTAATTTGATGCACTTGTGCACCACCGCATGACAAGAGATGGGAATAGCAACCAACCCTCAAATCTCAGTGCATATCGTCAGTGCATATCTGCGAGTAATCTGCATTTCTATCGCAATAGGCTCCTTGGGGTTGCGATACTGCTTTGCTTTCACAAGCCGCAAGTGGGAGTTTTGTGCCTCCAGTATCCCAACATACCTCACCCCGCTTCAACTCCTATTTTGAAATACAGTTACTTTACTTTCGTCTTGCTGGACTGGGGGACTTAAAAGACTTGCATCAGACCCGGATCTGGCTCTGCATCAATCAGGTCTCAAGCCTTTGGAGGCTCTTTGGGTTCTAGCTCTCTGTGCAAATCTTGGAGAGCACAGCATGTACTATTTGCCAGCGCTCAGCAGTCGTTGTCAGTCTTAGAATGTCGTGAAAATACAGCATGCAACATGTTAGAGAAGTCCAGCTGCATAGAAGCATTAGCGAACACTGGATTAAAGCAGAGTTCTCCCCTTGCAAAAAGAATTATGGCTCTGCTTTCTTTGTTCCCTTCATGTGGCATCTACAAAGTAGTCCCCTGTGACATTGATCGTAGCCACTGCATTTCGCCTTATTGCCCATGGCAGTAGCCCTTGATTATCCTGTCCAGGTCAGCACATCTGTGGTGAGAATGTTATTACTTGGTGTCTTTGTGGATTGCAGAAGGCATCCAGTGCATGCCCATGCCCCAATTGTGCCCATCCTCCATGTTTGCAGTCCCCAATTGCTACTTGCCTGTCTAGCAAAGCACTTGCTTTATCAATCAGAATCCATCCTGTATTGGGAAGATGATTGATTGGGAAATAATGCACATACACTGGTAATTGGTAGCCACCTGTCCACTAGAATATAAAGCAGTGCTGTGGTAATAAAAGGACAAAAGGGTCACGGGGTCGGGTAATTCGACGCTAAAATTAATCGAGCTTCTGCTTGTTGGACTCCTTCAACAAGAAATATCTTTTTCCTCCCCATCTCACAATCCTCACGGTCATCGCGGTCTCGACGGCGACGTTTCGAACCCTATTGAGTCATGGAGGTAGGTACTTCAAAGAGATGTCAAAGCGATCACTTTGATCGCGTCCTAAGGCATCTGCTGGCCCCGCTTAGTGTTGTTTTCCCACCCCGATCTGTGCACATTGGTTTTTCCTATCCCACCAACCTTTCATCTCCACAAATCTTCGAGTTTGGCGTTGACGTTTGACTTAGGTCTCCTCTCCCCCTCAGAAACGCCTGCAAGGTGCAACAGAGGGTTTGGAAACGTCCTCGACTCCACCAACAGCGCCTGTTAAGCAACGAGACCTTGTTCTGCCATCTCCGCTGAATACACCACAACAGACCATATTCAAGCAACGCGATCATCGTCTCCTACCTCCATTGAAGATCCCACGACAGACCAATCGCTTTCCTCTTCAGTCATTGAAGCCAGAGCAGAAGGACCGCCTTCCGCCTCTATCATTGACCACACGCCAGACCAAATACCGGCAGTACAGCGGCGAGGTGTATGAGAGTGCCCAGGCGCCTGCTCGCCAGATTGAGAACTCAAGGGAGTCAAGCTTGAGCATATCTGACCCTACTTTCCTGGAATTGATTCGTTCAGCTGCATCCTCTGGCACAGATCTGGTATTCAGAGGTGATCAGAGTCCAACTTTATCGGAGTAAGTGAAAATGGCATTCACTGTTGCCTCGCAAACCCTCAACCTCTTTCTAACCCTGTCTTCCATTGTAGAGTGGCTAAGATCATCAGTTCTTCCGCGAGCACCGTACGAGAACTTCAACCAAGAACGTTCGTCTTCGGTATGAAAGTCCTCCCTTCTAGCTCCTCCTTTCGTTGTGCCTTTAGTTCCAAATTCCGTCGACATTTCGCCTGGTTGAAGCACGAGCTTTTCTTCCATTCAACAGAAGCTTCGATCATCAGATTGCTGACATCTCGACAGACTCACGCCAGGAGAGTGGACAACAATATTACGTCTACGAAACATTCGATCTGAGCTGGGCCACCAAAGCTATGTTGAATACTCTGTCGGAGAGTCAATGGGGCGACCCAGTTGAACCCGCAGAACATGGTCTCCTTTCGACGTTTCGCGAGAAGTTTTCGGTGGATGAAAACGCTTCTAAGCTCGGTCAGAAGATCTTCGCTGACGTACACCCCTCTCATCTTATTCTTAATTCGATATTTATTAACTATTTCATAGGGATTCGACGTGTTGATATTTACGCTTTCGACTCGCGTTGACCGTAGAGACCGCACGCACCTGAGAGCCTTCCTCCCGTATAAATTGCGTGGTACTCAGAGCGCAGCTAAAGAATACTTTACCGCGAACGCGACTTGTTTGAGGAGAAAGATGGCATGGATTAAAGTATGCAGTAAGTGCACCCTCAATCTCCAATGTGATCGTGTCTAATAGCAGTAGACGCTCTCGACCAACGATCTGCAAACGAACGTCTTTCAAAGGAGTTTGAAGATATCGCTGCCGATTTCTTCAGTGGATGCCCCGTCAAGGAAGAGTAAATTCTACCTCTTTCCTATGTTCCCAAGTCCCTTTATCGCTGCCTTTCTTATATGTTCTTATCCTACCCATAGCTGCGCAAGAATCGAGATCTCGGAAACATGCTGACTCTGATAACTGCAGTTACGAAGCTGGTCATGCAACGTTCAGTGCCGCACCAAAGCCTTATATTCTGACTTTCAAGGGGGGTGATCGAACAAAAGTACTCCAAGAAAATCCCCTTGCAAGCAAGACAGCAGCTCTATTCCTCGAAGATCTTGTTATGGCCAATGAGATGGAGAAGGCTTGCCTTACAAAGGAAACGTACCAAACCGGCTTGAAGGTCTACCGTCACCAATCCCATATCGATACCTCCACCAAGCTGCGCAATGCCCGAAAGTCACAAGAAAAGTACACTTACTACTATCTGACGACGGGAGTGACTTCCAGTCATCTGTCAGAAGGATTGAAGGAGCTTATCAAGACGGTTGCCGACACTTCCGGTCCGGATAGTGACTTTACTGTACTTGGCGACGATGGGGAAAACACACTGCACCCGGAGTACACACTCGAGCCAGTAGAAGCACCCAATACCCCGGGAAACAGCTCGACCTTGAATTCTGTTTCACCTGGACATCCACCAACTGTTGAGGGAGCTTCGACTGCTTTCAGCGACATCAGCTCAGCTTCGCCTGGGCTTGATGCGACTGCAAAGAAGTCAAGCGTCCATGATTCCCCTGCCCGGCCCAGCCAGCTCATTGCTTCTACCCCGAAGGTGGCTGCAAAGGACAACAATTCCAATGGTCCGCCAACATTCAGCGAAGCGTTAGATCAATCCAATGGCGGTTTACAAACCACTCCACATGCCGACAAGGCCAACGTCACCGAAGTAGAGGGTACAATTTCTACGCCCACAGTCGAATCAGGCAGTAGTAAGAAGAAATTCAGAGGATCCAAGAGAAAGTCGAGAAACAAGAGAAAGGGCATCAAGAAGATCGAGGAACCTTCGTCTGGTCGGGACAATCAGGATCAAGATCTTGCCACGGTATCGCTGGAACAGCCATCTGAAACACCTCCAAGCTTGGACATTAAAGTTGAACCCGAAGCACGAACTCACCCTGGTAAGAATACATAGAAACCATGTTCTCTGTGCATTCTTGTTCTTGCTGACTTCATGCAGGCCCCGAAAATGCCGTAATCTCGAAGCGTGACAACGAATGGAGTGGGCTCAAGACAAAAGTATCTCATAAGCCCAAGAGCTCCAAGAACGAGGCATGGCTTGTTCTCCCGAATACTAGCAATATTGTAGGTACCGAGACTGCTAGGCAAGGTCTTGTCAAGCTAATTTTGGTTCAGGCACCGCCATCTAATCAAGCCGAGACCACTAAGGTGAGAAACTTTAAGCCCGAGGAGTATACTACTATGTCATCGAACATCCCAACTGTCAAATCAGAAGATGATCAAACCAGCGGTATCATTCCAGCTGCCACCCATACTACAACACTTCCTACCGTCGAAAATATGACATGGGATGAGACGGTCCGGAATCTGCCCCCAGAAGAGGCCGAGGCAATTCGTGTTCTCTCCCGGGAGTCACTGCACTCGGTTGCCCCTTCAGGCCCGCGCCATGCGGGGAATGCAGATCATGCTATGGTTAACACTCCTAGCACCTTGTCTAAGCATCACTCCACCGACAAGTTGCTTACAGCAGTAGGAAAGAGACAAGGTCAAGAAGTTGACGAAGCTCCTGGTGCTCAAGGCACTGGCCTTGAATGGGCTGCTGCAGAACTTACATCCCCAACAAAGTTCAATAGTGGATGGAGACACTCTTCGCTTCCATATCGAAGCCCCACTCCCAGCCACGACGATTTTGATGACTTCATTGAGATATCGTCCACTCGGCCTCGCAGCAACACAACCACCATTCTCAATCCGCGTGTCAGAGCCGTGCAGTTTGGTGACTTCCCCGTGGCACTCCCTGAGTTGAACGAAAACAAATATTCTGCAAACTCTGGTCACTCTAGCAGTCCTTCTCATAGTGTTCCGGAGGCGCCGTCGGCTTATCACGAGCAAGGACAATATCCAGGCAACGCCCCCGGCTTCACAGATGGTTTCCCACCGGCCGCTGGCTTTGCAAATCAACCAGCTATGCCATTTGCAGCTCAAATGCCCATATCGCAACCTCGCCATGCGCCGCCAATGTTCATGCATCCACCGTATCCGCCTCGGGACCTTTTGCCTCCAGCATCAGGTCACCTTGTTAGTCATCCCAACCCTCATCCTGTCCTTTATGGTCTCCCTATGTCTGGCTTCGCTTACCCACCCCCACCCATGCCCTCTTATCACTCTGGTCACTCTGGTCACTCTGGACATATCACCAATCACGCTCATCCAGTTCCCGTCACCGCTGACTATCCGCCAAATACTCACACTGGCTCGGGCATTTCAAGCTACGGCCATCAGTCAGTCAGAGAGGCTTCACAGCAGGAGGGAGATCGCGACGAGAGCTTCACGGGTCTATCTCGTAGCGACCGCGGTTTCGAAACCTCGTCCAACCTTGATCAGCAGCCAGAACAATCCACTAACGCCCAAGTCACTGGTACGCTTGCAGGTTATACGTGTAGATGCTGTTTCCGAGGATATGTCCCTAGCGTACAACAGCCGTTGTATTTCTGCGCCGGATGTGGCCCAACTGGTGCTATTCGATATTGCTCAGTTGCATGCCTCCTCGCAGACGCTTACAACCACTCACTTTGCTGCATGCGTATGTATTCCGTATTCTCTACCCGCTGGAGTTCTCCCTTCCCAGCCCTTAATCACATCTGTACCTTCTTTACTGTACTAACAACTTTTAGAATATCCGCATTATATGCGAATGGACCCCCACAACATGCCCGATGACTTATATGAATATGAACGCTTCTACCTCGCACCCGTCGAACTCAGAACTGAGAAGGAAACCCCCGAGAGATTCCGACAGAGATCGTTCGCTATGTACTGCTGGCACGGCCCTTTCCCACGAATCCTGAAAGCCTATGCCTTGACGCATGAGCTTCCAGTCGGTCTGCAAGGTTGTGATGTGAACGAGGAGTTCAAGAAGACGGGCGACTATCATATCTTCAGATCTGAAGTCTCGGCTGCTGGCAAGAAGTTCGCCCCCTGTGAAGTCATCTGTGTAAGTGTTTCCTGCCTCCACCGATCCGCCCACGCCGTCTTCAAGGTTTCCGCATTCACTCATACAAAGTGCGGATGTCTTTAGCCGTTCCCTATCCTCAAGATACTGATTTCATTCCATTTACTGACTTTGGTTGACAGACCCTCCGCCTTCGTAACGGTGACCCTATGAAGGAAGCACTCAACCGCGCTTTGAACGCCTGCTTGATATACTTGCAGCCGCGGGTTGTCAACTTCCTTTTCCGTCTTCTTCGCCACCTTATTCAAGATCTCGACACTTGGTCGCTCATGATGCCAGTTCTCGATCAACGTATGGTTCATGCCGAATTCATCCACCAATTCAGTCGAGAATTCGGCTTCGATGCCCAGGCTCACGCCCAAGACATTGACACCTTTGACCTTACAGAAGACTGGAGACTCGTTCGACTTGACATGGAAGACTTGGAGATGCAGTTCCAGGTCCTTCGATGCTGGTACCGTGCCAAGCGCGGCCAGTGGATTTCAGGCCCTCTTGAGCCCAGAGACGCCTACATGTGAGCGCTTCCACTTCATTAGTGCAAGAAACTCTCGTTGTGGCATCTCCTATCTGCTGTTTGTTTGAGTAGTCATCTGGTCTTTCCTTCTTATCATTTGGCCTTCCTCGATCGGCTCCATTGCTGGTGGCATTTATTTGTATTGAGGGTCATTTGACTGGCATCTTCTTCCCCTTTACGGAGAAGATCTACTTTTCATCAATGGTGTTTTTTCTCGAGATTCATAAGGAGTGGTCACAGCTTTCACTTTGGAGAGCACTATCTTTCATTCTTGTCATTTGGCCCTCTTCTGCCGGCTTTATTGCTGGAGGCATTTATTTGCACCGAGGGCTCATCTGACTGGCATCTTCTTCTTTTCGGAGAAGATTTGCCCTTTACGAATGGCGTTTTCTAAGAGTCAGGCAGAGTAACCACAGCTTTCGATATGGAAAGCAAGCTTTCTTTCTTGTCAATACGACCTTCTTGTTTATTGGCGTTGATGCTAGCGGCGTTTTGCATTAACGACAGGTCATTTGATTGGCGTTCTTCTCTTCGGCTTCTCGGAGTATTTGGGAGGAACTGCATTGCAATTTGGGGTTTATCAAAAGTGTGAATGAGGCTGCGAATTGTTGTCACTGCATAGACGAAAATAAACATTCATAAAAAAACTCGAATGGCTGCCGTGAACGTGACTCTCATTCTTCTACGGACTACCACAAACAGAAAAGAACACCATATGCAAAGTAACCGTAAGTGACCGCAAGACCCAGGCAACGCCAACCAATGCTCCCTCTGCCAAGCAACAAGAATGCAAAAGAACCATGCGCTCAGGCAAAACAAGGATCTCATCAATCATTTCGGTCATCGTAAGCTACAGGCAGACAAATGCATATTCATACGAGCCCTATTCCTTATGTTGCGCCTCCTTGAGAACCTCCAAAAAGGGATGGCCACTGGCAGCAGCTCCCGACTCGTTGAAACCATCCATAGAAGGACGTCCGTTCGCAGCGGCACGAGAGTTGGTACGGCTTCGAATGAACTCGATGCTTCTCTTGCGCTCTTCCTTGATACTGGCTCGGCGCTCACGAGCTTCTTGAAGCGACATTGGCGGTGGATCAGTCTGGAGCCGTTCGCCCAGGGCAGCTACTTGATCTTCGGTGATGACGCCCATGTTGATTTCCGCCTGAGTCAGAGAGCGGGACTTTTGGATTGCCTTGGGGTTTGGGGTGAATGCTGGGAACTGCCAATTGGTCAGAATAAGTTCCTTGAGGTTAGTGAGAGGGGGAAGTACCTTCTCGGTGTCGCCTTCGCCTTCGAGAATTGGGGACGACTTGCCGGTCCGAGCCATTGGCGACTTGGCCCGCGGATCGAACGTGACATGAAGTCCTCCAGGTCTGACTGTAGAGGACGAACCGGCCTCTAATGCATGATTAGCACGGGTGGTTCCTGCTAGATAGCGGTGTTCTACCCAGTAGTCCAGCGTTGGAAACTTACTCTCTGTGTTGCTATCCATCTTGATCAGATACTTCGGGGACGAGGATATCCAGAAGTGCTTACGGCCGTAGATGAAATCTCTGTGGGTAAGGAGCGTGGGTAAAGAGCGTAGGTAAGGAGCGTGGGTAAGGAGCGTGAGCAAAGGAGCGTGGTGGAGCAAATCTCGTCGCTTTTATGACTGTGAGAATCCTCTGACGATATTTCCAGTGGTTGAGAAAAGCTTTGTGTGCTTTTCTATATAACGTATAAGCCTAGTGCATCCGATTGGATATCGCATCGATGACGAGGCTGAGGGCAGAATAAAGGCGGAGAGTAGGGGTAAAAGTCATGTTGATGTGGACACTGGAAAGGAGAGGGAGAAACGTCGCAGAAGGAGAAGGAAATGCAAGGCTAGGTGATGAAATTCACCACAACCCACACCAACGAAGAGCATTGGATCTGAAAAGATGCCTAGAAAGAAGAGTTCAGCAGAGTTCATTCTGTCAGTTGGTTGAATGGTTGAATGGTATCAGAAGTTCTTCATTCAGATTGGGACCGAGTTGGGTCCAGCCTCTACGCAACAGTAGATACAAAGCTTCAATCCAGAAAGCAGATTGCCCCTTAATATGACTTAACAAATAATGTAACAAAGATCATTTACAGGGGCTAGATTCATTATTGGCGAGATGTATCTAGAAGGCGGAGAGAATTGGTGCTGCCCCTTCACCTGCTGCTACAACAACAGCAACACAAACAGATAAGGATCTGCTCATGTCTGGACATTAACATTCGTTTCAAAGAGTTGATTCGAATAGTTTTATGACTTCGTGTTCCCACATGACAGCATCGTGGCTGCAAAGCGGCATGGCCATTTCAAGAACAGGGCTTAAATGTAGCTATCACATCTCTCTTCCCAGAACAGAAGTTGAATCTTTGAATCACAGAAAGTTGGTGAGAAGAGGTGAAATAATAAAGATGGTGAGGTTGACGGAAGTGGAAAGGGGCTTGATGTTGTCGAAGCGAATCGGAACTTCCCGGCTTCCCGCAAAGATCAGCCGTCATTGCGCTAGAAATTTATTCTACATTTTCCTTGAACATCAGCTGCGCTCCAGTCCACAAGCACGCGACCACATTCCCAACAATGATTCCGAGAACACTATTACGCCAAACCCGGGCAGTGAGCTCCAGTATACGGGCAGCCCCACGGTCATCATTAGCACGGCCACAATTCCGCCAATCCAATCTTTCCTTCGCATTGGCTTCGAGACCAGCGACATCGAGATGGTATTCCACAGAGCCAGAAACCAAGAAGGCGGAAGGCGATGCTACTGCAGAGTCGAAAACAGAGGGGAAGAGCAGTGAAGCAGAAGATCCTGCAAAGAAGGAATTAGAGGCGAAGAATAAGGAGATTATTGATCTGAAGGTAACGCCACTCCCCCTTCCATCCCAACACCCTCTAATTATTTGAATGAAAGGATCGATATCTCCGCTCCGTGGCCGAATACCGCAACCTCCAAGAGAGAACCAAGCGGGATATGCAATCCGCGAAGGACTTTGCCCTGCAAAAATTCGCCAAGGACCTCGTCGACAGTGTCGACAACCTCGATCGAGCCTTGGCCATGGTCCCAGAGGAAAAGCTCAATGCCAAGGAGAAAACAGAGCATTTGCAAGATTTAGTCTCACTATATGATGGTCTGAAGATGACCGAGTCCATCCTGATGCAGACGCTGAAGAAGCATGGACTGGAGAGATTCGATCCTAGCGTCGAAGGCGAGAAGTTCAATCCGAATGAGCACGAGGCGACGTTTATGACACCCATGGAGGGGAAGGAGGATAACACCGTCTTCCATACGCAACAAAAGGGTTTCAAGCTTAATGGGAGGGTCCTACGAGCTGCGAAGGTCGGTGTTGTGAAGAATACATAAATGGATGCCTTGGCATCTCGGATAAAATGTTGTACATGTATAATAGGGTGGGTAAGAGGCGTTGGATCTTCGTTGTACATATCATTGCTCCTCTCATTGGCGTGGAAGGTCTGCATGCATTGTCAGGGTAGCAGGCAAGAGCCATAAATAATCACATGTGCAGAAGAATCTGCAAGAACTCCTTCATATGTAACGTACTCTACAGAGAAGTCATACATACGTTCCATGGCCTCAAACACTTCGTTGTGCAATGGCCTCCCATCATGAGGCTTATCGTTTTGATGGTTGGATCTCGTCGTACATAAAGATTGATGTGAAAGAGAATAGAAACAGGAAAACTTGTACTGAGCCATCCATACAAACTAATCCCAGAATCTTAACATCGTACTATCTCGCAACACCGCATGGCGCCCATGTCTCACTGACCAATTTGTACCCGAGGCTTCTCGAACAGCTTCCTGTCGGGCATAAGCCCAGGGATCTCATCAACACTCTGAATACCAAGCTTGTCCAACAATTGTAATCTCTCCTTCTCTCTGGGTTCGACATCATCCTGGAGGGTCTCGTACTCCGTCTTGAGTCTGGCACCAAGTAGTTTCGCCCTAATCAACTGGATGGTCTCCTGCTCTTCGGCTTCGTCGATGTATCGGCGGTATTGTGTGCGCTTCGGTGTTGGCGTAGGAGGCGTTGGAGCTCGAGGAATGTCCTTGAGTGTTGCAGGTATCTTCATGCGGGGCCCTGACATCGAGTTGTTCTCGAGATACTCCTTGAGGAAGTGGATTTGGCGGTATATCTCAATCCGCCGCTCTGCAAACTCTTGAGCCTCTTGCAACTGCGCCATGTTTTCCTGCCAGACACGTTGCCCCTCTTCTCTGATTCTACAGATATTTTCTTTCACCTCCTCGTACATTCTAGCGCCGTCCAGTGCGTCTTTTGGTCGAGTTAGGTTCTCACGTGCTCGTTCCTGAAAGAATGTATTAGCCAGGGTACATTGGCTATCGATTCCTTAATTTACCGATGTGAAGACCTCTGGAGTTGAAGCAGTGCTTTCTGCGACATTGCCTCGCTGTCGACGATCACCCCAAGCAGCCCCAAATCCATGCCTCTCAAGATCATCCATAATTCCTGGGTAACTGTAGTTGAAGTAAGGTGGGGGCCGAACGATATCAACACCTACGTTTCAAGTCAGCACGAGAAATGTCTACAGTTAGGCTAACTACAGACCAAGTGGGCTTGACAGAAGAGATGGACTACACTCAATTTCGTAGACTCCAGATAGTACGCTGCCCGTCTCCAGATCAAACTGCATTTCCGGCTTTGATTGAATAGGAATCCTGCACTTTTCGGCGATGCTTCGTCTGGCAGTGGGAAGATTTTCCTGCATCAAGTCAGTTTCTGACAATAAAGTCGTTCCCACAAATTTTGTAGAAGAAGCCTTTAAGAACTTACGGGCGTCTTTATGACTGTTTCTTCATACTGATCTCCAGTTACGGCGCCGGCAGCCCACTGGGCAAAAGTCTCTGGGCTGATACGCCAGTCACGGGGATCGCCTTCGGCATCATGTTCGTCGGTGACATCTGCTGCAAAATTTTGGTAAACTTCATTCAGCTCTTGGGGTGTCAAGATGCGAGGTCCATGATCTCGGGATCTCGGGATGTCTGGAAGATGCGGTTCTGCTCTATGGGGGCTAGGCTGGTTCAGGTAGGCCTCATATAGCTCTCCTTCGCTCTCGGGATCTATCCACTTGCCTTCGGCCAAGTAGTAACCAAAATTGGCCCACACCATGTCGCCCTTGTAGTGGTTATTCCCAATTGCTGGAGGATTCTGTCGGATGTACTCATTATAAGTGAGCTGGGGTTGTTGCTCTCTTTGTGGTTGATAACTGCCACCATGCAACGCGAGAGGGAGGAGTTGAGGCGGCTGTAAATTTGCTGCAGTAATAGGATCACAGAAGAAAGTCGCACCTCGAGGAAGTCTGCCAAGGCATGTTAGCAACAGGAATCTAGCAGGCTATCTTCTTCGCTCACCCTTCTAGAGACGCTCTTTTGGCAATTGGTGGAAGCCACATTCTGTGATTGAATCGTTGCCTATCCGAAGCTGGATACAATGCGTGGTGCAAGGGATCAAAGTAATGCTGATTCCGTCCTCTCATATGTGCGTAGGTGAATAGCATGCTTGGTGCCACTGGGACGCGTTGAGCCCGGCTCGGACCCATGATCTGGTCATTTGGAACGAACATCATTGGGGGAAGGTAGTCTTGTGAGAAGCTGTCAGCTTAAAATAACAGGCAAGCATGTTCTGACTAGATAACGTACTTTCGGACTGGTCCATTGTGTGGGAGCTGGGCGCGTCGGAACGCATTCTGGAGCGATCATGGGTAACAGGCTGCGGATTCCGCAAGGCGCGACGGTGTTCACAATTAAGGGACCACGTCAACTCCCAGGCCAGAGTTTGGGCCACAAGATCGAAGGAAATTTGCTAGCTAGCAGAGAGGGTGGAAGTGCAGTAAGGAGTTTAGGACACCCTGTGTTGGATCCCAAATTGAGGGACCATTGTCGGGGAAATTTGTTCGTGTGAATGTGTGGGCAAAGTGTATTGCACCGCACCGCCATTGCGGCCCTCGGAACAACGGCACAAAGTGTCGTCGTCTTGCCGATTTGTGTCCGATAACACCCCAAAGGAAGGTGAGAATAGAACATGCCGAGTTCTCACCCCTTCTCAACCCAAGGCACAACCCTGGAGGCACACCCGTGATAATTGCATATTTATCCTGAGGTGACCTTTTGGTCTAAAAGGCCAAGCAGTGTACTACAAGAAAACAAAAACAATTCAACCATTCAGCAAGACTTGAAGTTTTCTAGCATGCTAGCTTCAAATGAATGAATGAATTAGATCTGTTTATGGAAAGTTCACGACAAGCAATACAGATACATAATAGCAAAGTCCATTGAGAAACAAGACAGGCACGAAGAGCATACTGCTTCTGGCGTCAAAAGGCTATCATCTGCACGTGAAACTATTCACCACATAGTAGCAGATAACAACTATGGCCGGGCATCCGGCACCCCTCACCTGCCGTCGCCTTACACTTCCCCGCATGGTCAAGAGCAGAGGAAGGCAAACTTGAACAAAGAGATGTTGTGATGATAGCAAGAAGGAGGTCCACTGAACATGTGCGAGAATTCATAGGAAGGACAAAAAGAAGGGAATGGAAGAGAAGGAGAGGGGATAGGAGGGACCGTGTTGGACAAATCGGAAGAAAGCGCCGAGACCTGGTCACCCCTGGGCCCCAGATCGTTTCCTGTACAAGGATCACGATAGTGACATCACATGATCATGAACACCTGACCTTGGTCAACCTCACTTCACCCTATCGTCGAACTTCCATACACAGCAATTCTCAACCTCGATCCATACATGCAGCTGGGAAGACTCCCCCTCACGGACCTGGTCTCCTCTCCTCGTTGACCCACCATCTCCAGCCTAGCCCCCAAAATCCTCACCCCCTGAGACGGTCAGAGCGCTCTCCTCAACCACGAAGCCACAACCCAAGGCCGCAATCCTCAACCAGCAAACATGTCCTCGTCGCACTCTACCCCCTCGAAAGCCGCCACAGCGAAATCAAAATCCAAAGCCTCATCCTCCTCACGCTCCTCATCCCGCATGTTCACACCGGTAATGCAAGATCGCCAAGCCAGGAACAAGGACCCTTACGCCTCGACTGATGAATCGAGTGATAGCGCCTGGGAGGGCCAGAATAGGAAATTTGACGTGTATGAGTTGGGTTCTTCCCTTACGCCCCCATACCTCCTTTGCTTAGGTCTCATTCATGTCACGTGTTCAGAATTTATGAGGCACGAATCGCAGGATGATCCGAACGCTGACAAGGCAATAGCTACAGCAGAGACTCCTTTGCCAGAATTCAGAGGAGGAGAGAAGCCGCTATTGTGCTGGACAATCCGGAGTTGCTGATGATGCACGCACAAGCTCGATCCGATGTAAGCCCCTTTCAACCATGTCCTCCTGCTTTAGTATTACCAAGTAGCCAATGTCTATCTAGAGCATTCCCGGGACTCGCCACTACTTCACCAAAATCCTCTGCGGTTATGAAGATGAGAAGGACCCTTATGCGCCGCCCGGAGTCGAGATATATGAGAAACCCAAATTCAGACCGAGCAAGGAGGCAAATGAGACCAAGAGGAGTATGTAGCGCAGGGTTGATGGAATCTGGAGTTCAGGGATGGCATTTGAGTTCCGAGGGAATGGTGGAAGGTTCATGACATGGCGGACCACGAAGTCCATGATCGTAATTAATATCAAATTAGCTGGTCTAAAGTCGACTTGGGGAATTCTCTTGCGTTCTGGTGAAAAGGAATTGCTCGGATCAGAGCGAATGAACTTGACTCTCACACCGAAGCAATCTGTTATCAAGGGATATGTGGTCAATTATTATCTACAGTGACTAATAAATATAATCCCCATCATCTGTTCATCTCCTCCGAGTATCCAGTACCACCGGGCTCATCGGCTTTCAAGCAGCCAACCCGCCATTCAAAGAATGAAGTTCTATCCTAATCCCTAGTGGCTCCTATTTTATGCATAAATGTAAGTCCAAACACCGGCTAATCCAAAATGAAATGTATCAATACGCCGAATATCCCAAATTTAAACTCGTATCAAGCATACCGAACACTCGGCTGCCAAACAGGTGGCGGAGCCCCTGGTTTCCACCGTCCGTTCTCCCACCCATCGCTCATCCCCCCTGATCCATTCATACCTCGCATAGCCGGGAGTGGTGCGCTAGCATAGGTCGGCGGAGAATATGTTGGCGCGCTGGCCCATCCTGGTGGCGGAGGAAGCCTTTGGCGCATTCGGATCCGGTTTCTTCTCTTATGTCTGGACCAACAACACGATAGGATGGTAAGTATGATGAGCCCCCCGATGACGGAGGCCAGTGCTATCACCAACGTCTTATTGCTTTGTATCCAACTGGTGATTTCCTTTCCAACGCTCGAGCCTTGGCATTGTCCGTTTGAACATTTTCCTCCACCTTGGCAAGATGTCCCGTCGAGGAAGTTTTGCTGCATTGAGTAGCAGACATTGGCCCCGAATTCGGGAGAGGCGCAAGATATTTGGCAGCCGTCGGAGGAGCAAGCATAGGTATCATTTCCTTGGGTGTAAGAACCCATCAAAGTTTTACACTGCAGGTCACGGGATGTGCACTGTCCAGAGGCGCAGGAGAGCGAGTTCCCACACGAGGTCCCTGAATACCATTAGTAAGAGAAGAAGGCCAAGGAAGGGGAAACGTACCATCTGGAGTTGTTTTGTCAGCAGGGCAAGTTGCTGCCTGGCCGCTGCAGACCTCTTGAGGATCGCAAACGCCAGTACTAGCACGACATACTGTGCCATTTGAGGCAAACTTGCAAGTGGATGTACAGCAATCCTCGTTGCTGGGATCACAGACAGACTGCGACGTGAACTTGCAAGTTGTTGGGTCACAACAAGGGTTGTCTGCGCACCCGGATGTTCCCCCGCAATCGCAGTCCTCGCCGGCCTCGACAATGCCATTCCCACATTGGCTTCCTGTGATCGTTGAGACGTCCTTATTTGCTGTTAGGCAACTGGTCTTCACACTGTTTCTGCCTATAGCAGAGCAAATGTTGCCAATCGTGCAGGGCGAGAACTTTTGAATGTTGCTCCCCGTACTTGGGTTCATGATATACGCTCCTCCAGCATCGCAGGTCGTGGAACTTAAGGGGCAACATTGCTGAGACGCAACGGTCGTGCCGTCAGCGCAAGTTGTCGAAGTGCAATCGTGAACCGCCCCAAAGGTGTGGCCCGTCTCATGAGCAACAACCTGCCACTCTGTACTGGTCCTGACGACGACGTTGGCTCCGCTGATAGTTTCATTGCCAGACGACGAAGCCTCCACCTGAGAGGTCGTCACACAAGCCTGACCCAGCCACGCCAATCCTACAGCAGACCCGGTAGCGCAGGTGCTGAGCAGTGTCCAATATGCATTGGTGTCTTGACGCTCACCCCTCCACGCAGAGAAGAGGTTGAGTCGATTCTGAATGGTGACCGAATCACTACATCCAATATTCCAAGGAGCAGCAGAAGATGCTGTGGCAGGGCAGCTGGCGTCGCTGATTGTAAGGTTTTGCAACCCCAACGTAATGTTGAAGCTACTTTCGTACTGGACTGACGCAAGATTAATGACGCTGATGATGTTGGCTTTTGCCGAAGCAGTAGAATTGAAAACGGCAGTGTAAGTGCAGTCCGTGGCGACTCCGACGAGGGCAACCTTCCGGGTAGAGGGGCAGCCATTTGTTGATCCAATGGAGGTTGTCAAATTAACACCCGCAGAATTTCCGCCGGTTTGTCCATCAATCTGGCGTCCGAAGAGGCTTCGAGTCGATGCTGAACCCCAGAAATAATCGTCCCGCTTCAACATCCCAGCGTACACGGGATGTTGACTGTCAACATTGAAGTTTAGCCCATCGGCGGAGCACGAAGACTCCTCTCCAATGCTTCTTTTTAAGTCCGCGTGTATTAAACCCTCGTTGTCCGCAGTGAGGCCTTCGCTGATGTCGGAATCCCTCCATACAACCATATATTCTGCACCCTTCTCCTCCAACTTCGGGTCCAGTTTGTGTCGTGTCTGCATGAAGTGGGTCCTCGTCTGCACATGATGGTGGTCACCATCGACTCTGAATGCTCCTTCGAAGATCGGGCTCTCTCCGTCCTGCTGAATCAAAATCCGAGCCCAGCCAACGTTGGTCCATTCAGCCCCCGGATAATGCTGCAGCCACGCATCTCCTTTGAAAACTCTATATTCTGAACGGTCTATTAATTCCGAACTTCGTACTGATCCATCCGGCGCGAGGTGCTGTACTGTTGCCCCGTTCGCGATAACATCGTGATTCGGGGCTAGCGTCAACTTTATCCTTTGCTGCTCATTGTGCAGGTCAAATGTGAGGTCGAACTTCGACAGCGCGTGTATTCGATGTGATGGTGTATTAACATGTGCATTTTCGAGCAAGGTAAAGTAGGTCAAAGGGTTTCTCTCGTTGGAGTGAGCTGGAGGTTGGGGTCAGCCGCAAATATCTTTGCCAGAGACTCAGGAGGGGCAACTCGTACCATGAGATCGCGAGAACAGACATGCGCTGACGAGGGCCGCCGCTATGCTCCTCAGTATGTACATATTCTGGCGAGTTTGAGAGATGTATTGAAAGAAGATGCGGCAGGCTGGCCCTCGAGGTCCAGCACAGCACAAGTGAGATTCACTCCCAAAAGAATCGTACTAGGCACTCCTCTTCAGCCGCAGTTGATTCCTAATTGAGTATGTGAAGAATCCCCAGCCACAGACTCCTCCAATCGACCAGCGAAACGAGCGACTACCGTAAGATATTAAAAGCAAGAGGTCGAAATGGCGGACAGGCGGAAGGGGGAAGGAGAGGAAGAGTGGTAGAGTGGTAGAGTGGTAGAGTGGTAGAGTGGTAGAGTGGTGCAGGGTTGGAGGAGTGGTTTCAATCGATCGCAAGGTGCTGGGGGCGCGAGAGCGATAACGAGAGCGTGTTACTCGCTCGGTACGTGCCTAATGCGAAGGTGCGGGAGGCCTGGCAACAGTTTCAGACGTTTTGCGCTTCCGCTCCCGAAAACATCAGCGCGGCAGGAATACGAACAAGGCGCTCTTGCTATTGTTGTTGCTATTGATGCTGATGTTGATGAACGCGGTCGCAGAAAGGGAGGAGGAGCAGGCTTCTTTACATCCCGGCACGAACGGAAAACCATGAGTGAGAGTTGAGGGCAAACCCGCTCACCTGGGCGGATGCCCGTCTCACCACCACCGCCACCACTACCATGACCACATTCGATTCTTGTTCATAAGCTTACTTGCACTTACTTCTTTTTCGGCCGCACAGCCTCAGCTTCAAACCTCGACGCCCTTACCGTGTTCGTCTGGACGATTCTCTCTTTCCCTCCCTCCCTCCGTCCTCCGCTCCCCCTCGGCCGCCCTGCTCGCAGCCTTGAGCACGCGCAGATGGTCTGATGGAACTGCTGCCAGGGCGCAGCACTCTTGTGCCCAGCGGCTGGATCAGACACGGCCTTTTGACACGCCAACTGTCGTCTCGGTCTGAAGTTTGGCTGAGTAAAAGACAGTCAGCCAGTCACTGTCAGTCACGGGGGGGTGGAATTGCAGCCCATCCGCGTTTCAGCCGTGCGGTGTTGAAGCACTCCCCGTCACCCCCTATAAATAGAATAGCGAGATTTTTCAAGAGTACCATTGTTTAAGAACCTCAGTATCCCCTGTTCTCTTCGCGAGCCTCAACTTTCTTTCTTTCTTTCTCTCTCCCTCAAGTACACCACCGTCTCCCTGCTTCTGATCTCAATATGGGCCCTCATCTGGATGTCCCCACACCCAGCGGCTTTTCGCCGACGGGCCCTGAGAATTTTGTCGTCCATAGGATCGGCCGGCCCTTGGCAACCCACCCCCCCAAAAGGATCGCCATCGTCACCAATGAGAATTTCTGTCAAAAAACCTGCGGACCGCGGTGCAGCCATCACCGGAACGAGCAGCAGAAGATTGCGTAGGCTTGCATGCGATGGCTTGGGGAGGCCAGGTGGGCTATGCTGTGCTCATCCACTCATACGAGGATAAGCTAACGAATGAGGACACTTGCTCGCGTGACTGAGGACGAGGAGAGACAGTTGATTCTCCAAGACTCCATTTCAAGTCGGAGTTAACAAAGCAACACGCAATGATTTCTTGCTGCTGGGCATGTTCAAGAAGACAGAAACGACGACTGTAGGTATTTTGGGGTGTTCGCAGGTTGGTCAGCTGTTTCTGGACCGAGACAAACGTTTTTCTTGACAACATGCAACGGAACAATTAAAACGCACGAGATGCTGGGTTGGAGAGAACACCGGGAAAATTCCAAATCCATGCAATCCGGTCCGTTGGAATTGCCAGCATAGTTGCTGTGTCTTTCGCTATGGGATTCTGTTTGCCAAGCGCTTCGTTCGAGGTGTCTCCTATACACGAACTTTACCCTATTTCAATCGCTTCGTCACTTTTCGCTTGTTACACAGGGCAACGGGCCATATGTGGAAAGAGGACTGCAAATTTGTTCGCTATCAAATTTCGATTTCGCGAGTACATAAGATACATTGAAAACATTGACAACTGACTCCAGTGAAAGGATTATCATTTCCAGCAAGAAAGAGAAACACCTCCGGGAATCCTTTTTGTAATGCTCGCTCGAAGCACACCTTCTTCTTTACTTCTTCTTGGATTGGTGGACAACCTCAATGATCTTGTCTACGACACTGGGATCGGACAGCTAACGCGGCACTGTTAGCAAAAGCATTGCCATCTCTGGGGGTCTTTAAAACTTACAGTGGATGTGTCGCCGAGTTGGTCTTCCTCACCAGCAAGAATCTTTCTCAGGATACGACGCATAATCTTTCCACTTCGAGTTTTGGGTAGATCGGGGACGACGAAAATTGCCTTGGGAGCTGCGAAGGGACCGATGCTCTTTCGGACTTGGAGAATGAGATCCTTTCTCAGTTGATCGTTGATCTCATTACCGTCCTTGATGGCAACGAAGGCGTTAACGGCTTGGCCAGTGAGCTCATCAGAGATACCAACCACAGCCGCTTCAGCGACGGCGTGGTACTCGATCAACGCAGCCTCAATCTCGGCAGTAGACAGACGATGGCCGGAAACGTTGACAACATCGTCAACACGGCCTCGGATCCAGTAGTAGCCTTCGTGGTCGCGTCCTGCTCCGTCGCCCGTGAACTGGTAAAAAATCAGCGGACGGCTTCGTATCAATACAAATGGTTGAACTTACGTAGTATCCCTTATACACATTCAAGTATGTATCCATGTATCTCTTGTGTGCGCCCCAAACTGTGCGGGCCATGCTAGGCCATGGTTGCTTGAAGGCCAAAACACCTTCAACATCATTCCCATGAATCTCCTCTCCGGAGACAGGGTCGATGATCGCGGGTTCGATGCCAAAGAAAGGAAGGGAAGCACTGCCTGGCTTGGTGGGAGTAACACCGGCAAGAGGAGTGATAACGTGGGAGCCCGTCTCGGTTTGCCAGTATGTCTATAGGTAGTTGAGTTAGCATTCGCTTATAAAAGAGATAATCTCAAACTTACGTCAACGACATGAGCTTCCTCCTTTCCAACAATCTCAAAGTACCATTTCCAGACCTCGGCAGCGATTGGCTCTCCGACGGATCCCAAGACTCTGAGATGTTTCATCTCATGCTTGACGTACTTATCACCCGCTCTCTTGAGTAATCTCAGGGCGGTTGGAGCAACATAAAATTGGGTCACCTCATGCTTGGCAATGACCTCCCAGTACCTGGAGAAATCGGGATAGGCAGGGGTTCCTTCGAAGACGACGGTCGCAACACCCAGCAGGAGGGGAGCATAGACTACGTAGGTGTGGCCAGTGATCCACCCAACATCACCGCCGCAGAAGAACTTGTCGGAATCATGAATGTCAAAGACGTACTTTCCAGTGCAAGCAGCACCAACGAGGTAACCACCAGTGGAATGCATCACACCCTTGGGCTTGCCCGTAGATCCAGACGTATAGAGCAAGAAAAGCGGGTCTTCCGAGTTCATTGGCTCAGGGGCAATGTAGGCGGGCCACTTCTCAACCTCCTCATGCCACCACCAATCACGGCCCTTGGTCCACGGGACCTCAGCACCCGTACGCTTGTACACCAAGCAGTGCGTAACATCTGGGCATTGCTTCAGGGCATCATCAACGATCTTCTTCGTTCCAATCAACTTTCCGCCTCGCTTGCCCTCATCGGTTGTGATGACCACCTTGGATTGTGCATCAATGACACGGTCGCGGAGGGAGTCAGAGGAGAAACCGGCGAAGACGACAGAGTGGACGGCGCCGATGCGTGCGCAGGCTAGGAAGGCAATGAGCGCCTCGGGAATCATGGGGAGGTAGATGGCCACGGTGTCTCCCTTCTTCACACCCATCTGCTTCAAAACGTGAGCGGTCTTGCAGACTTCTCTTAGAAGCTCGCTATATGTGAGGGTGCGCCCATCTGCCGCATCGTCAGCCTCGTAGATAATGGCGGCCTTGTTGGGGTGCTTGATCGCGTGTCGGTCTACGCAGTTGTAGGAAGCATTGAGCTGGCCCTCCAAGAACCACGCGTTGTCGCCGTTCTGGAGGCTCCCCGAGTGCACGGTCTGGAAATCTCGCTGCCATGTCAGAAGCTCGCGAGCTTGCTTCGCCCAGAATTTCTTGGGCTGGGTGATGGATTCCTTGTACAGCTGCTGGTATTCGTCCAAGCCTAGCGCACCGTCAGCCTCTGGCCTGCAATTGATTCTCCCGTGGAGCTCTTACCGCTCAAATGAGGCTTGCTGGGATGTTCTGCAAGAGCGTTAGTTATTTAGTTAGTTCGCCATTGTTCCCATTCACCGAAAAGCCACAGGTGTCGAAGCTCGAAGTGGGGGGGGGGGGGGGGGGGATTGGAGGGGGGCTTACTGAGGAACATCTTCTGTGGCGGATCTGGAGCTTGTTAGCATGCTGGAAGCGCTGGCCTCCTCATTCCTCGACTCACGGAAAGTATCAACCTCGTGGGCCTCAGCAACCACAGGGTTGGTGGGCGGTTTGACATTGCCTTCGGACATGGTTGCTGTCGTCCTTGGTTGTTGCGATGGAGAAAGAGCAGATTTCACAGCGTGAAAGGCGAGTGCGGGGTTGTTTTTCCCAAGCGAACAGACCAAGATCTGGGGCAATCGCGGGTTTTGGTTTGTCGGTGGGCTGGGCGGTATGATGACGGCAGGCGGGAAGGCTGGGTTGAGGGGGGGGGGGAGGTTCTGGCGGGGCTGGAGACAGTGAAGACTGGGAGAACGGAGGAGAAGCGAGGGGAGGGGGAGGAAGAAGAGAAAGAGGCAGAGACAGAGACAGAAGAGAAGAGCTTCGAGGGAGAGAGGAAAGGCACGAACTGGGGCGACGGGGACAGGCGTCTCTTTTACATCCTCGCGTCGGCTGTCCCAGACTCCCAGCCCATCACTGATTGCTCTGGTTCGCTCGGGGCAAAGGGAGATTCTGATTTCGTCAGTAACCTTACCGTGCTGTCCTGGAATTGACGGAGCTCCCATCCTGAGCCGCAGGCCAGCATACACTCCACTCAGGCCCCTCCACTCATCGACTGCCCCGGCTATTCTCCTGCATCGATATGACTGGCTGCAGGGCCGGCGGCGGGAGCCCTTGCGTGCTGGCTGGCCCCTTAATCCGAGCGCGACAGAAAGAGGCATGGAATGATGGAACGCCGCCGACTGTGGGGTTGAACCACCGCCGTCAGCCTTCTGCGGAACGGCACCAATCAGCAGCAGCAGAGCAGCAGCAGAGCAGCACCAGAGCAGCAGCAGCAGCAGCACCAGAGCAGCAGCAGCAGCAGCAGCCAGAGACAAACTCGGGAGTGAGTCTGGAGATCAACGATCAACGATCAACATCATGATCAATGATCAATGATCACCCCATGATTCCTGCTCTCCCCTCCTCTGCTCTGCTCTCTGCCCCTGCCCCCTGGCCCCCTGCCCCCTGCCCTCTACTTGTACGTATCTCGCGCTGCTGCTCGAGGCCAGGCCTTCTCGGAGACCGGCTGCTGCTGTATGCGTATTTGTCAAGGGCCGTTGCAGCTCAAGGGGCGTTGCAGACGAGCGGGACGGCTGTTGTGGTCTTGGTAGAGCTCCTGTAGTGCTCAGGTAGTGCTCAAGTAGTGCTCATGTACCTGCGGCAGCGGCGCCCTTCAGCAGCTCCGTTTCCCCAGAATTGCTGACCTTGCGCCTGCTTTGCGACATGGTACAAGTAGGCGGTGCGGTAATGTTATTAGGACTACCCAGTTGACGTGTTATCCACTCCAGTATCGGAAAGGTCCATTCATTCTGAATTTCTGGCTGTGAGGCACAAATTGCGCCAAGAACAGCTGCTCTTCTCTTCTCTTCTCCTCTCCTCCACTCTCCTCCCTCTCTTCCTTTCCTCTCTCGCCCAGATGTTGTTGATCTGCTGTGCATTCTCCAAGGTGGCATGTTCTGGCCGTTGCGGGGTAGCCGGACCAGGACGAGGCTGACACCGCTGGCTGGCTGGCCTGCTGCTCGGGAGCTGTTCCGTGGAGGTTCAAGAGTTCTCGATCCCCCGGGCTCGGGCTCATTAATCGGCTCGCTCGCAATAATTCTTTACCCATCCATCGTCTCAGGCACATTTGCCTCTATCGGTGCTTATGCTAGCTTCTACGTGAGGCCACTTAAGGTCCTCAACAGATTGCCGAGTATATTTGTGCTTTACGAGTAAGCTCGGCTGCAGACCGATGTCCGGCTGCGCTGGCCGAGACGGGCATCGGTTCGAAGGAACTACGGTAACTTGTCGACCACAACGCCAAGGCCACACAGTCTCTGGCTCGACCTTGAAGCCTCGAAGGGGAACGTGAAAATACACAACCTCGTTGCTACGTGTCTCGATTTGGTGCTTCAGAGCACAACATGACCCTCAGCGTTCTGTGTAACCCCTATTTCACCACGCAAGCGTTGGCATCGTGTTTTCCCTTGCCCTCTGTTGTACCTGCCTGCAGGCTGCATGCGGCGTGATTCCCTGCATCAGTTTGATGCTCATCTGTAACCTGTGACGGGCTGCTCTCTGCACGCCAAATCCGGCTTGCTTCACCGTATCTTCCTTCGAATCTTCGGTGGCTGGGGAACGTTACACGGCAAGTTATTCAATACGGGATGCCAAGATCTCGTTCAAACTTCCCACTCCCTCCAGAATCCGTTACACATTCAGAGACATCTACTAGTACCACTTCTCAGATATATCGCCCTCATGCACCACCCATGCAAAATAAACCCTCACAATTCATTAATTCCCCTCTCCACTCCAACCCCTATCCACCAACACCACTTCCCCTTCCATACCCCTGTTCTCTCCGCATCTGTCCATTCCCATCTCTATCCTCCACCTCCCTCCCAACACCAGCCCCCTGATTCGCCTCCCCGGTGTTGCCAATAGTCTCTCCACCAAACCCATGTTCACTTATAGCCTCCCCATATCGTATGTTCTCCGCCGTCTGCTCGCCTCGCTGCTGCTTCTGTCCGTCGAGTTGTCGCTTAGCCTCATTCGGATTGGGATCTTTTATCCGAACAAGATTTGTTAGAAACTACATTCGTTCACTATTATAAGGTAAAGGTAAAGGAAGAGAGCTTCGAAGAAGAGAAAATACCGGAGAATTGTCCTTGGGATTTGGCATGTGGTTTGGTGAAGGTGTTTGCTGATTCGTACCTGGTGAAGCTTGTCAGAAAAGAGATTGTAAAGGGAAAGCGGAGAGCTAACTGAGTGTTCTCTCCGCCTGGTTCAGTATCCATCATTCCTGTACTCTTTGCCTCTGTCATGTTTCCAATTGTTATATGATGATCGATTGTTAGAACAGCGCAATGGAAAAGGGGGGAAACTCAAACTCGACCACGGTGGGGTGGTGGGGTAATGTTGTCGAAGCTGCTTAATGACGTATGGTCCCAACACAGTATAAGCAAGGCCAAAAGCTACAGTTAGAGAACTGAAGTCGAATTTCGTACAAATGGAGTGAGTAGAGCTTTCAATTGGGTAATTTTGACATAAAATTACAAACAGTTGACGCTTTTTGCAAACCCGGTCAGCGCCTTTACTGTTACCTACATCTCTGCTCCGAGGTCTTCTCATCTCAATTCAACCCCCAATTTCTCTACCAGAGCTTTCCGAACTTGTTCATGATATCCGTTGGCCTCTTCATTCGTCAAAGTCCGCTCCAGACTCCTATAATTGATCCTGTAGCACAAGCTCCTCCTCCCGGTCTTCGGGTGAGCAAATTCGTCAACCTTAGCGACATCCTCAACGACATCGCCACCAATATCTCTCACAATCTCCATCACATCGTTTTCATGGAAATCTTGAGTATTTGCTCTTGACCCACCCCCGGCTGAAGAGGACGATGACCGTAGCCAGAATGCTACATCCTTGTAACAAGACGGGAATTTCGAGAATGGTACAAATCGTCTCAGATTATCCAAATTCTCTGAAAGGCCCCTGAACTGCCCCAGAAATCGTTCGTCTTTCGACCAGAATAGACGAATGTCTGGGATTTCGAAAAGCAGCATAGCGATACGTTCCAGGCCCATCCCAAAAGCCCATCCTAACTGCTGGGGCTGGCCGGCCTTGTCCATGATATCTTGTTTTACAACACCACAGCCCAGGACTTCAAGCCAATCTCCTTGCCAGAAAATCTCAAGCTCCCAAGAAGGACTGGTGAAGGGGAAATATGCTTCGATCCAGCGGACCTTTAGTCGCTCATCCACAAAATCCGGGTTCGCAGAAACAGCAGCAGCCTTTGCTCGAGAAAATATCTCCACAACAACCAACTCGAGAGATTTCTTCAAATGAGCTGCAATTGCTTCTGCCTCGGTCAGAGAATGTTCTTTTTGGAGAGGGTTTCGTTCTGGATGAGTAGGCGGATTAGGATCCTCGACTTTCATGGAATGCTTGGGCAAAGCTTCAATGTCTTTTAAGACTGCTGCTGCGATGTCTCCATTGGGCGCCTTTGTTCTATCCCACATCCTCGCACCCTCCATCTGGTGGAAGATCGGGTAATGACTACGGTCAATTGCATCTCTTCTGTAGACATCTGCACTAATGAGCCAACCTTCGCTTTCGTTTGCCCGGAACACATCAGCTTGGTGTGCGCTTGTATGGGTTCGAAGGACGGTTTCTTGATTGATATAATATGTATCCGTCTTGCTCCTCCCAGGATGATCTACTGGAAAGCCTAAGGAATCGAAGTTCTGTTGGGTAGAGACAACTGGAAAGAAGTTGTTGTGGTATTTGAAGGTTGGACTCGGGAAACGGGATTCGATGATTGATCGTGTTATGGAAATAGGGTGATCTTTTTGGACATGCAATCTTCGTGAAATCGAAGCAGTAATGTTTGAAGACAGGTTATGCCATTCATCTGTTTGGTATGATTTGCCATCGACAGTCACATTTCCAGAAGGGCTTGTCCCTGAAAGCTGTCAGAATAGCTGCCTTCTTCAGTGCTGGTAACGGACCTGTGGAATTATACCGGCACTGGGTGCATGCCACCAGTCTTCGTGAAGCAGCATTGGACAAGCCAACAAATAAGGCCAACGCCTCAGTACCGGCAGAGACGCGGTGTCTCCTGGTGAGATGCTTCATGGCAAACGTGGAGAGCTGTTTTCGAGTGGAAAGGAGCTTCAGACGAAACGGAACGGAACAACTTGCTCCGATGCCGGCAACCATCGGCGGATGACGATGCACCAGATTTTAAGGCTGGAAAAGCTGGAAAGCGTCAAGGTCAGCAATTGGCCTCACAGAACTTCCACAAGTTTTCACAGAAATGCGCCCTCGTAAAATGTCTTTATAGTAGTCCCCTCAACTGCTCCTTTTATGCAAAGGTCCGCTCTCTGCAGTCTCCACAAAATCGGAAGGCACGGTTCCTGTCCACTTACAGTACTCGTTACGAGGCCCCAAAAGTTTCGTTCCCAGGCTCTGAGCAGAAAATAACATAATACATACCGACCCTTTCTCCTCTCTGACTCCTGGCTGGCTATCGGGTGGAAGGAATGCTGAGGCGGGATCAATTGACATTATGCCGTCCAGGAGCACGTCTGAGGAGTCGAAAGAGCACTCTCGGAAGAAGGCTTGGGAGCGAGGACACATCCGATATCCATTCTGGTTCGGAGGAAGCGCAAGTTGTTTTGCAGCTTGCGTGACGCACCCTTTGGATCTTGGTGAGTCGTGCCAAATATCTGGAGTCTTTGAAATATGGTGCTAATTAAATTGCAGTCAAGGTAGGAGATTTGTGCTCCAGATGCGACATAACCAGCTGAACAGATCTAGGTCCGCCTTCAAACCCGTCTAGGCAATGCACCCAAAAGCATGGTTGGAACCTTCGTGCATGTTTTCCAAGCCGATGGTTTCTTGGGACTTTACAGTGGTCTGAGTGCTTCACTGCTACGCCAGATCACCTACTCCACGACCCGGTTCGGCATCTACGAGGAGCTGAAGTCAGACTTCACCACCCACACGTCCTCCCCGTCGTTCCCCACGCTCATTGCGTTGGCTTCGACATCCGGATTTCTGGGCGGAGTTGCAGGGAATCCAGCAGATGTGCTCAATGTGCGGATGCAGCACGATGCCGCGCTACCCCCTAACGAGAGGAGAAATTACAAAAACGCGATTGACGGGTTGATTCGGATGACTCGAGAAGAAGGCTGGAAAAGCTTATTTCGGGGAGTGTGGCCGAATAGTATGAGGGCGGTACTGATGACTGCAAGTCAATTAGCCTCATATGACGGGTTCAAGCGGGTGCTGATTGAGCACACTGCTCTGTCGGACAACTTGACGACTCACTTCATGGCTTCATTTTTGGCAGGATTTGTGGCCACGACTGTTTGCTCGCCAGTGGACGTTATCAAAACCCGTATTATGTCCTCTCAGGAGAGCAAGGGCTTGGCGAAACTTTTAGCCGATGTGTATAGACTTGAGGGGGTGGGCTGGATGTTCAGGGGTTGGGTCCCCTCGTTCATTCGCCTTGGGCCTCACACAATTGCAACATTCCTATTCTTGGAACAACACAAGAAGATATACAGGAAGTTGAAAGGCATGGACGAGCTGGAAGCGGCTGTTTGAGGGTAATAAGAGGAGGAAGATGCTTGACGGTTGATTATAAGGCTTATTAGATTCCCTGCTTATTTATTCGTTCACGGGTCCGGCGTATAAATGATATGTTTGTGGACATATGATATGGGTTGGTGTTCGGAGACATAGACTTAGAAGCATACTCTGGAGTTTCTGTATAATAGGGTATCATAGATATCATTCCTGTTCTAGTCTGGTCGTTTTCCAGATGCCGGAAAGCTTTTCCGTCCAACGCCTGGCCCCGATATGCAAGTGGTATTACAGACTGCCAAGTTTCGGCTTCAGGTTATCCTCTACCTACCATTTGCCCAACCATTTTGTTGTCCGTATGGAGTGGCTCCGTAAGGTGTAGCTGATCCACCCCATGGCTGCGGCGGGTCTTGAGCGCCACTCCCATTACCAAATGGTGTAGCGTAACCTTGATCTTGCCCCCATGCCCCGTTCATACCAACATCTTCCGGACTTCTGGGTGCGTCGTAGCCATGGCCATTGACACCATTTGTCTGGGTATCGCCTTCGGTCAGATCCTGAATGACGGCCGCCAACTTCTGCTGGAGTACTTTGATTCCTTGCTGAATGATCGCATCAGGTTCTAGATTGCCTACGCTCTCAACCTCGAAGTAGAATCTCTCAGGGACGGCATCGTAATCAAATGGTTCGCCCTCTTGAGGAGGCTCCTCCCACCCAGCATATTTGCTTTTTGGCCTTGATACATGTGAGCAGATTTTCACGCAGCAATGTCGCACGAAAAGGGGCGTCGTCTACCTACCATTCTTTTTCAGCATCCTCTTCGTACCACAGATCTGTATGTCGCAACTTATTCTGAGGGTCATACTCGAATCCCACTGCAGATGTTGGTGCCCACTTCGCATGCTCCTTCGCAATGCCTTTCTTTGCAATGCACTTCATCCTCAGCTCTTGGCCCTTGCGTAACTTGCAAATAACAGTCCCCAATCCTTCCGGATCCGTGATGACTGGGTTTCCCACCCATTGGTTCGCTCGCAAAGGGTCGACAACAAGATCGCGAGCATAGACTCTCATTATCTCATCGCCCGTGCATCTAGCATGAAGGGTGAGGGTGACGCTGCAGAGCTCGCAGTACTGTTCGCAGTCGCAGTCGCGGGAATAGATGACATCGTCCACATTCTTCGAGTTCAGAGGGATGAGACCAAGACGGTGGGTTATGAACTCGTCCGCCAGCACAGATGTGTTCGCCTCTATCTCTACCAAGTCTATTGCCATCGTTGGGACCTCCGCGAGGATAGTTCGGCGTAGGGAATTCGCAAAGGAGAGGTCAACGCTTTGCAATTCGAAATCGACAGAATGCGCAGTAGCCTATGATGTTGCCTATGAGTTCTAAATCCACGGAACAAATTCGAGTCACCTTACGTCAGTAATCTTCACGGACGGTCCCAGGGACTCCGCGTCCATCACCATGGGGTCGAAATCCATCTTGAAGGCGAGGTGAACAGAACGCGTGTCGGACGGGAAGGCGCTGGTATGATAATCTCGCTCCCTTCAGCTTCAGCGGGCAGTCTGCAAGGCTGACGTGTCCGAGGTGTTGACTCGCCTTTTGTTGACTGCTGAGGGCTGAGCAAGGTCGAGGTACAAAATATGGCAATCCACTTCGAGGCTGAGGTTTGCCGGTTGCGAAACTTGCAGGGATGTGATTCACTTCATTGGTGGGTCACGTGCTCCGCCCCGCGTCGAGACCACTGGACCTCAACTGAAAAGCAAGGTGAATTGATACATTATGGGGGGCTCCATGTAAATGCTGGGTGTGGAATGAGTTCAGATCAAGAGCCACACTACCCAGTGGCATATTCCGTCGGCGTCGTGGACATCGTTAGCACGAATCCTTCAACAAAATACCCGGAGAAAGGGGCATTTCCTCCCAGCGCTTGTACTGGTCACAAGGTGGCGTGTACCTCTAATACCTGTCCCTCCTGTCTAGCTGAGTCAATAAGTTGTCGAGCTCATAGCAAGCTGGTTAACTGTTAAGACTCCCATAGCCTCCTTGGAAACCTCTGGAGGCTACCCTGGGACGGCTTGTGATGCACCAGAAATGCTTCTGTTGACAGCTGCTCTCTCCGGATTCTTCGCTGCTCCCAAGCCACCAAGCCTCACTGGAGGCAATGAACTGGACTGGAGTCAACCAAGTGCTGATCCGCTCTCCTTGCGGGCAGTGTTCGGGAAAGATCACTCCGCAACCCAGCGCCAGGAGGAGAAATGATCGCAGCGGCGTGCAATCGTTCAACTCCATCAACCGCCGACGCCGAGGGGCATTGACCCTGTCTGGCCTTGTCTTGTCATGTCTGCGCGGTTCCAGAACCACACGCAGACTAGAGCCACTCACGGGTTTCCCCGGGAGTTTGCTACGTCCTCCAAGCCGTCGTTTGAGTGGCTTGGAAGCAAAGTTGGCTTTTTAACGAGGCTGTGCTGTGCACGCAGGTGGCGAGCAGCCAGACCTCCACAACCGACCTCAAGTAGATAAAACCACAACAATTCCCAACTTGCCTTCTCAAACCAAGCCGAATAAGAACCACCTTTGTAACGATTCTCTCCAAAAATCCGCGCATTAATCTTGACAGTCTCCAAGGACAGCACTCAACCACCAAGATGGCCACAGAAAGCTCCGAGAGTTCACCTCCGGCATCCCGGCCAGTCTCATCAAAAGGATCAAGGACGCCAATGTCAATAGACCTCTCCTCTATTCCGCCTCTACAACAACCAACTCCTCCTTCGAACACCCTCCTCATCACCAATCTCCAGGATGCCGAAATCTTCCGCGCCGACAATCTCCAAACCATCAAAGACCTCATCAACGCCTCGGCGCCTATCCACTCGTGGGCGCCGCTCAAATCCTTCAGGCGCATCATAGCCTCCTTCTTTGACGAGGACTCCGCTATTCGGATCCGTCAAATCCTCGATGGCGAAGCAATAATGGGCGAGCGTGTCAAGGTGTATTTCGGCCAACCAACCAACATCGAACCCAAAGACGAGCATCTCAATCTGCCTGATGCAGGGAAGTTGTTCTTCATCTCGCCTCCGCCTTCTCCTCCTCACGGATGGGAAATGAAGTTAGAAGACGCACCAAATAAACAGGTACATGCGGAGGATTTGGCGGAGGCATTGGCGAAGCTACATCACAAGCCGCGGACAGATCTCCCCGCAAGCCCAATAAGTGATGGGGAGCAAGAGCCGGGAAGAGCACGCAGTGGATCGAGCACGACGATATATCACCCGAGTGAACATGGGTGCAGTCCCAACCTGCCGGCAATTTCGGTAGAGGATTTGACGGGCGAGAGTAACATTAGTCCGATTGAGACGGAGAAGCCTATTCTTGCTCATACTTCAAGACCACCAGTAGAGTTGATGGAAACGTGAGGGATCGGGGGGTGAAATTTGATGGCAGTTTGGCGTTAAGAGGGGTGCATGGTCTCGGCGGGAGCTCTGCGTTTGCATTGAGCTTTTTTTATATATCGGCATTGCACCGAGAAGATCTCACGATCATGGGGACTTGTGCGGTAAACTGAGAATAGATGAGTCGTTAGATTCTCATTGTAATAATATTTGGATGGTTTAATCCCGATGCCTCTGACCAGAATTTCAAGTAAACCACCAGGCTGCTAGTCTCCCAAATACCTTGAACGTTGTCATCAAACAGAAATACAAAACAATACCCATAACTGCACTTCCCATACACAGTGCACTCAGATTCCTCCTCTCAACTCCCGATTCCTTTAAGCCAGATACATATTCTCCCATCGACGTTGTTGTGTCAAAGTTTGGGATATACTTGAAGTCGAAGTTCGTTTCCTCACCCAACCCATGTGCCTTGTTCTCGACTATCACTTGATAGAACATGCTTCGAAGTGCCTAGGGCAGTACTGTAAGCATGGAGTAAGATAGCGGTTCACATATACACACCTTTAACTTTCGCCTATCTAGGTACGGTATCGAGCGATATGTATAACATATGAACACGAAGAAGATGCACTGCCCTGCAACTAGAGCCTTATAATAAAGGCTTGGGCGACCCAGCCCCAAGGCATCCGCCAATTCGTCCCCGTTAAGCCACCGAGCGCTCGCTATGAGAAAATCTTTTGACGCATAAGCAGGAGGTTGTCTTTGCAACGAGAGAATGATGTTGTTTGCGAGCACTTTCGACGTCTCGCTGGGACGAATCTCTGAAATCAAAAGAGATTCCATCATAGATTTAGCTCGTTCTGGGGTCTCAAAGTACTCAGGAGGGGTCCCAATGTAATGAGCTACCAGACGCCACAGAGCAAGATAATCCTTTATCTCTTGCTGTCTCATCCAGATCCCCTGTCTCGGGAAGCCGAGCCAAATCAGAGTTGCCGAGAAGGTGATTATTGTACCAATAGAATCTAAGTCGTTGATAGGAATCCCAAACTCCTCTACGGAATAATACTCTGGTCTTTCTTTTGCAAGTTTCATTATTCGTCGTCGTACAGCTGCGTGAAGAAGTCTGACTCGGATGGATGAAGCATGACCAGCTCCGCCTGGCTTGATGGAGTCTAAGGAGCTCGTTCTGCACAGCAAATTAGCACTTTAAAGCCGAGAAAAGGGCCTTAATGAGCCGAGAGTCCCAGATCTGTCTTGGACCCTAAGACAGGGTGGAAATGGGGTCTAAAAGCTTCCGAGAAAGCTCCTAGACTCGTAGCTTCTGCAGAAAAGGTTGCAAAATTGGTATGAGAATAAGCCTTACACTTGCAAAATATGCTGCGTGGTCTCGTACATCCGGGCTTTAGCCACTTTGGTCGAAAAGCCTCCCGTCCGAGCAAGGACCTCAGTGACCCGGGCAGCTCCCATACCTCCAAGTAGAGACTGGTAAGCCAGCTGTACCCGTGTCAGTCAGAGTATTTTGTTCTGAATATGGAGAGTTCATACAGCAGTAAGAGCCACGCCTCCATACCGATAAAAAACATCTTGTCCACGAGCAATCTGATTCCAATCAACCCAATCCGGTATAGTATTTACTTCGTCCCACAGACGTCCCAGTGCCTCGTCTTCTGGGGCATGGTCTCTTAAGAGAGCATACAAGTTTCTTTTCACTGGAGGTTTTGCATCCGCTTGAGTCCTGCTTCGATTTCGAGGCAGCTGTTGGTCCGGACCAGGTGGCGAGATCCTATTAAGGCGGACCAAACATTCCTCGCCCGACACATCATAAGAGTACTTCAGAGGATGCATTTCCGCCGGGGTCATGTGCTGGGGAGTCCATTGGAAGTCGAAGCCCCAAACATGTCTACTATTCTCATCCTTGCGTAAGAAAGGGTTGGGCCAAGACATCGACAACTAAAGCCTAAAGAGTAAGGAATCGAGAAAGGAGAAGAATGTGAGGGAATATCCAAGGAGTGAAAGAGCGTGTTTCTAAGATGTTGCTGCTCGAATATAGGTTGGAAAGTTTTACCCCGCTGTCACATGGCGACATCATGAGTTCGATCCTTGATCGTGCGGCAAACGTTTAGGGGAGGAAACCCAGAACATTGGCGAGTTATGACCGAAGCTCTGCTTGTGTCCGCGGCTATCTGCCAGCCAACAAAGACACTGAGAACACCCCCCTATTGCACCTGTTTAAAGCTGACTCGAAGCTGCTGACTCGAATAGAAGCTCAAAATGCGAGCAGGCTGATCACGTTTCTGGACCACCCCAAAATATCGCCAATCTGGAGGGGCAAAATCTTGACACGCAGTTCCCGCATCCTCAACTGTCGCTCATCCGCACCGCAAAGTGCTACCTTTACCTTTAGGTACGTGGAGAGCAAACATATTCTGTGTGTGTAGTTGTACAGCCGGCCAGCTCGCCTCGCTTAACATCGACAAAACGAACGCATGCCTCGCCTCGCCGGGGCGGTACAGTACTGCAGCGGCCACCGATAAGGATCGCGGAAATGACACCAAGCGCTGACCCGGGCTGCAACATTTTTTTCCCTCGCGAACCCTCACTTCTCCTGAACCCATTCCGGGCTACAGCAATGCTTTGCCGCTGCACTGTCGACACCTTGAGACTTTTTATTAGAAGTATAGCCCAGGTGGACCTTTCTGCATCCAAGACATTCGGCCCTTCTTCACCGTTGTTGATTCGAAGCTGCAACCCTGCCGCAAGTACCAGAGATCGATATCTTCCTCGCCGAGCGTATGCTACTACTCCCTTCTCGGACAGCAAAGGATCAATCAATGGATTGACAGATGTAAAGTCGGCCTCGGGGTCGCCAAGATGGTTGGAAGGGCACTTGCAGAGCAAACCCGATGCTGACAGCGCCGTTGTCGAACTCTCCCCAGAAGCGGTAGATGCCATTGCAGCAGATCTGGCGCCCCAAGAGCCCTCCCAGCACCACGAGACTCCTTCTAGGGAGTATGAAACTCCGTTGAAGTCTTTGTTGAAGGATCTTCCCATGAAGCAGCCTAAGCCGCCCGTGGACCCAGTATCAAGGATCACAGGTAGGAGGACAAAGGTTGCAAACAACTCTTTTGCGCTCCACTTCAGCAAGCCTCGAAGAACAGACTCAAATTCCAAAACTGGGGGATCAGCGTCAAGGCCTACAAGTCGAGATGAATGGACGCCTCCTGAACGCGAGCACTGGCAGATTGACAAAGAAGCTCTGTCGAAGAAATTCCCTGATGGGTGGAACCCGCGAAAACGTCTTTCTCCCGATGCTATTACTGGCATCCGAGCTCTTCATGCTCAGATGCCCGAACGATACGATACACAAACTTTGTCACAAGAATTCGGAGTCACTGCTGAAGCAATCCGGAGAATATTGAAGTCTAAGTGGAGTCCGTCTCCCGAGGAAGAAACAGACCGACAAAGACGTTGGCTTAAAAGGGGCCAACAGGTCTGGAGCAGATATGCAGAGCTAGGGGTGAAGCCACCAAAGCTGTGGAGAGAGCTGGGCATTGGGCAGGGGAAACCAGACTGGATGAAGAGGAAGCAGGAATGGACGAAGAAACAGCAACAGCCTCGGGACCCACCCGTGCTGATTACGACTGCCAGGCGCAGGGAGGCAAACGGCAACAGCGCTGCGAGTCTCGCTGCAAAGAGCTCCAGTCTTGCGGATAGGATACTGTGAAGGGTGGTTTGATGGTTTCATGAAACCGGCATTTTGTATGATAGACCGGGGGCTCAATTTGTTGGATTTTGGCAGGATTGACATGAAGATATCAGTGGATTTGCATTGAATTTGAAGCTCAAATGCTCCAATGGCAACGCTTTACCGAGAACAAGTTTCGACCGTTCATGCTGAGTGCGCCATGCATATTGGGAAATTGATCAGAGCAAGCCCCTGCTGCCGCCACAAGAACGAAAATCAGGGGCAAGACCTATTTCCATGGCTCCTGGGTGTCGGGGTGACTTGGAGCAGGATGTGATGGGATGTGATGTGATGTGATGTATGTGCCGCCTCGCTGGACCGGACCTGCAGCCAAAATTGTGAAGCTGTTCGGAGACTGGGAGACCCCAGAGCTTCATCCCTGGAAGCGCGTGCAGGGCCCAGCACCGCGTCGCGCACGGACATCTGACCTGAAGGAGGCCCTCGAAAACCCAGCCCAACCATACCAGCTGAGTCCCATCTCGTCACATTCCTCCTCATCGCTTCCGCTTCGTCTTTCTTTACTGCTTGGTCTTTCCATCTGAATCTGACCTACTACTATCTCAACTCCGATCGACCAGATCTGCCGCTGTACGTGAGCAATTCCCCGTGCTCCTGTTCGTTGGTAACTACCACAACAAACGTCAGCCTTTGTTTCCCATGTCCTCTTTGGATCAGTCTTGCGCCTCAATTGCGACGACGGCCTTCCCAAAGTTGCGGTCGAGAACACAGATGACCTACTCTTCAACCCAATTGCGTCAATCGCGGCAATTGAACACCTCCATGGCTTGATCATGTCTTCCACTCCGTCGAACCAAAGGACGTTTGCTGCCAACAACGGGCTCAAGCTGACACCCTCGAATTCTCCATACCCACGCACCCCTCGATCACCGAATAAGCCCCGCCCTTTCTACGAGTCGGGTCTTTCACTCAAGCGTATCATTGGCACCACAGTTTCTTCTCCCACCGCATTCGATAGCTGCTCATCATCTCGAACTTTTGCATACACAGCCGGCGCAGCGGCCGTTATTTTCACTGTTGACGACGATTCGAAGGACTCCCAGAGATTCTTCAGAGCTCGCCCAACGGCAACGGCACTCAATGCTGGGGCCACAGCCACATGCACTCCTTCTACCCCAGAAAACACAGCAAATGATGGCAGGAATAGATCTGTTGCAAACCTGAGAGACTCTGCGGTTCCCTTCTCGCTGTCTACACCACATACAAACCTTGAACGAGTTGACTCGCCTACATTAAAAACTTGGACAAGCAGGGAAAGAATCAAAGCGGCCACTTGTGTCTCTCTGAGCCCGGATGGAACCCTGTTGGCGGTTGGGGAGGTGAGCATCTCCCCGCTCGGTCATTAACGTCAGTTATTAACCTTATGACAGACCGGATACTCCCCAAGAGTGCTGATTTTCTCTTTGCAAGATACTTCCTCTGATACTCCTTTAGTTATATTAAACGAACATACCTTTGGTGTTCGAGCTGTTTCATTCAGCCCTGATCAGAAATATCTTGCCAGCCTGGGTACTGCGAATGATGGATTTCTTTATGTTTGGTCAATCAACCAAAGAACTGGGGCTGCCAAATTACACTCTAGTAACAAATGCACGAGCTTTATCAAGCAAATGATCTGGCTCGGAAGCAGTATAGTCACGTAAGTGTCTAATATACCCTTCGATCAAGTCAAGGTCTCCAGTAGCTAACCAATGCGCAGAATCGGTACCAGACATATCAAGATATGGAGGGTCGAGGGGAATCGGAGCGTATCGCCATCAAAACGACGATTCGCGCTTGATGGAACACCGCAACCAGCCGCTGTCCAGCCGATCCTGAAAACCCTGGCAGGTCGGAACGTACTACTTGGGCCCCTTGTGGAAGCTACTTTCACGGCCATTGCACCAATATCCAATCACAAGGCCATTGTTTGCGCTGAAAAGGGCGACGTTTGCCTTCTCGACGATAGCGAGGGCCAAAAGTTAATAAAACTGGCAAGTACGGGGTTCTTCATCATGTGTCTTGCGGTTGATGTTCAGTCTCGAATGGTCAGAATTGGAGGGCGCAATGGCAGAATGAAATCCATGATCCTGGATGAGCTCTTAAATCCATCTCCTCCTGAATCACTGAAATCATTTTTAGAATCTGCCTCGGGCGCCTCCGGCCCCGATCTCTGTGCAATGGGTTATGCTGCAAACAGCCTCGTCACGGTCGATTCCAACAATTCGATAGAAATATCGAATCCGGACTCTGATACTGCGGATTTGAGTATGCAGAAAGTCCTCTCGGCACATGGTGATTCGGTCCTTGGGATTGGCCTGTTGTCTCCTGAGAACAAGATGAATGCCGCGTTTCTTACATGGTCTGCCAATGGAACAATCGTCTTCTGGGATCTTGACGGTAGCAGCAAGGGTCTTGTGAAGGTAGAAGTTGAGCAGCTCTCCGCAGGAGACGACGACCCTGTCAACCAATGTCAGATTGTGAGGGCTGGGAAGAACGCTGCATATTTAGTCACTGGGGACAAATATGGCGTCTTGAGGGTCTTGCGGATCGTCGATCCGTCCACCCAGACGTGTGAGTTGGAAACGAGGGCTCATATGTCCGATATTCAAGATATCGCCCTTCATGAAAGTGAAAACACTACCATGATCGCCTCCTGTAGCCGGGACCGAACGGTTCAGATGTTCCGTTTGCTCCTAGGCGAATGGGTTCTTATCCAAACATTGGATGACCATTCAGCCAGTGTCTGCAGCCTGTTCTTTGCGGAGAATGGAGAGAAGTTGATATCCTGCTCGACAGACAGAACCATTCACATAAGGCAACTTGTGAAGAAGGACGTTGGGGGTCAAGATATCATTGGCGCAGTTCCCCTTCGCATTATCACACTGAAAGCTTCCCCAGTATCGATGGCCGCCTGTTTTGCAGACCAGATGGGCAACTTTGTCGTGTCTTTGCTTGATCGGTCAGTGGCAATCTATGAGATTGCCAGTGGGCGTCTTGTTAGCTCGTTCCGCGCAACTGACAGTGAGGGTGCTGAGGCCGTTGTCTTGGATGCTCTGGTCATGGGAAGACCTAGTTGCATACCGGGAAGACCAACAATTTTAGCTGGAGTCTCGACTACTGACAAGTCTGTGCGCGTTTACGATGGAGTAACAGGAGCATTTCTGGACCGCGAGTTTGGCCACACTGCGAGTGTGACTGATGTTGCCCTCTTGGAGTCCGACTCTGAGGAGAAGATTCTGATAAGCTCCGGGGCTGAGTAAGTGTTTTATGAACGGATTTTCTCTAGCAGATGTCTCGCGAGTTATTATTACTGCCAGGATCACTTGAGAGTAAAGGACTCGTGGGACACTATTTTTACCATTCACTTCCTTTAACAAGGCTAACTCTGAGACTATCTAGTGGTACTATTATGATATGGGATCTCTCACCAACGAAAGTGCCTGAAGCGCAAGAATCTTCCTCCGACACCCGAGAACCATCTCCTCCAAAGGACACTCCGTCCACTAGACCAGCATTGAGGAGAGTGCTGTCTCGAGCTGAACTGGCAGAGTTTCAGCGGGTCTCACCAGTTTCGACGCCAACGGGCAATCGCTCTCCACCACGAATCCGACGAAAAACGTCGAGATACGGCCTCTCATCGCAGTCTCCTACTCTCGCGCTTGCGCCTCCTGTACCACCACTTAGTTCAAAGCACTTTACGTCAGCATCGGATGACTCTTCCATACGTCGTGCTACGGGTAGCCGGCATCGATCTCGCAGCCCCCCGCCGGCAAAGGACATGAGGCGACCGTCACTGGCTTCACTTGATTCGCGGGGGCGAACGAAGAGCACAGGGAATTTCAGCGAGTTTGGCAGTCTCAATATGGCGACTGAGCAAGCATGTCGCACTCTACGAGCTTACCGCAAGAAGCTCCTGTCCGCCGAATCTGTGAAAGAGGATGCTCTGAAGGAGTTGGATCAGGAACTGCGACTCACAGCGGTAGCGTTAGGAGAGAAGAACCTCAAGACGAAAGTTATTAGTGAGACGGTATTAGCGGTTCTCGACCAATACTCCGATCGCCTCGTTTCTATGTTTGACGAGAAGCTTAGACTATTAAAGGTAGATTCAAGTGAGTCTGTAAGCATGGCAGAAGAGCGGCCAAAAACAGCAAGTAGTTTAGTTACTTCGAGTATATTACCTTAATTTATATATTTTAATAATACTTTTAAAAGATATTTATAAAATATTTAAAATTTATAATATTATTAAATATATAAAAGTATTTAATTAATTATATTTATAATACTTTTTAAATTTATTAAATATATTTTAATAAAAAAAAATTTTAATTATAATATTAATTAAAAATTTAAAAATTTAATATAACTAGTTAATATAATTATTTTATAATTAGTTTTTATTTAATAAAAAAAAGCCTTAAAATTAATTAACTTTTATATATATTAATATTTTATTATTTATTTAATAACTTAATTAGAAACTATTAATAAAACCGAGTTTATTATTTATTATTTAAAACTATTTTAATTTATTTAATTCATTTATTATTATTTATTATTTAATTAACTAATTTATAAATAGAAATATTTAATAATAATATAATTATTATTAAATAATTTTATTAAACTTATATATTAATTATATAGCTTTTTATAAGATATTTATTAGTAAATAATAAAATAATAGAATGAATTAGTAAATTATAAAACTATAATATTAAATTTAATATAAAACTAATTTCTATTTCTTTTATAAGATTTAAAGAAGCCTTTTCTAAATAAAAGGCCCTAATAATATATATATAATTAGTAATTTATAAGCCTAATACTTATAATATAAATAGTAATTAGTTATAATAATAAAGAACTATTAATTTTACTAATTAATACTTGTAATATCTAAAGTTTATTATATATTCTTTAATTATATATAATTCTATATATATTATAATTATATTCTTTTCCTAAAATCTTATTTTCAAAATCTATTAATTTATATTAGTAAAATATTTAAATAAAATAAACTTCTAGTATTTTAGAAAATAAGTTTATTAATATAATCTAAATAATAAATATAAAAATTATTTAATTAAATTAAGGCTAAATAAATAAAAAGAAATAATTTTTATATTTTAGGTATAAAAGCTAGCTAATAATTATAATTTTATTTAGGAACTAAATATTATAATTAGTTTAATTTAAAGTATTAAAATACTATTTTATAAAATTAATATTATTTATTAGATCTTATATTAGAATAATTTAAATAGCTTTATAAAAGAATTTAATAAAATATTTATATAAGAAACTTATATAAATATTTCTAAGATTCTAGAAATTATTTATAAGTTTCTAGAAATATATATTAATTAGTTATATTAATTTCTAATTAGAACTAGTATAAAAACTAGTAATTAATTTAGATAGTTCTTTATTTCTATAAAAGAATCTTTTATATTATTATATACTCTAATAATTATATATATAATAACTTCTTCTATTATTATTTTCTAGCTTCTTTTTCTATTCTTTTCTAAGTCTTCTTTAATTATTTTTAATTATTTTTATAATATCTGGCTTTATTTTCTATTAATATAATTATAAATATAAAAGTAATTTTATAATTTCCTTTTTTATTATTAATAAATACTTGAAATATTTCAAGTATTTATTTATTAATTTCTTTATTTTATATATTATAATACCTAGTAAAAAGAATTATAATTATTATAATAAGAATTCTAAATCTTATATTTTAATAAGTTCTTTAACTTTAATATTTATTAAAACTAATATAATTTCAGATTTCTTATTATTTATTAAAGGCTTATTAGTTCTAGAAAAATATTATTATAATCTTTAAGAAATTCTTTAAAAAATATCCTAAGTAGTATTATACTATTAAGAATAAGCTTATTAATTAGATTTTCGAAAACTAGAAAAAGTTTACTAAGTTTCGAAATTCTATTTCTTATTTTAATAAAATTAATAAGAATACTATTTGAGTTAGTATTTTAAAAGTAAGTTTTTTCTTATATATTTAGATATTTACTAATTCTCTAAAGAAATATTATAAAGCTTATTTTTAAAGTATTAAGCTTATTATTAAGATTATTACCGAGATTTCTATATAGTTTATTATTAGTATTTTAAGTATTAATAATATAATATTTATAGCTATTTAAGATTTAATTTCAGAAGTTCGGGCTTTTTATAAAATATATATAATTATTATAAGTTTCTTATTTACTTTTTTTAATATTTTTAATATTAATATTATTATAATATAATTATATTTTATTAAAAAATAAGCGGATTCCGGAAAGTATTACTTGATTTTTTACTAGATTTTAAATAGAGCCGGTATTTAGTATTTTTATTTTAGAAATTAGGAATTTATAAGAATTAGAATTTATTTATTTAAGATATTTATAACTAGTTTATCTATAATAAATCTTTCTTAATTCTAAATCTTTTTTCTAATAATTTAAATATAATTCTTATAAGCTTTAATAAAACCTTAAAAAACCTTTATAAATAAAAAACCCTTTAAAAAAAAAGTATTTCTATTATTATTTCGGGCTCTTTCTTAGTTATTTAGGTTTTTTCTTTTCTTTAAATAGCTTTTTCTTAATAATCTAGAATTCTTTTTAATTTTAAAAAGTTATTAAAAAATAATTTTAGATTTTAAGCTATAATTTTAGTTATATAATTTCAGAAATTTCTTGAAATTATTAAAGTTAGAAAAAACAAATAACTAGATATTATAATCTTTAGGCCAGGCTTTTTATTTAATTAAATATTATTATTTTTTATTTCTATTATTTTATTAGTAATTATTAATAGCTTTTATTTTTTATTTTTATTTTTTATTATTATTTACTAATTCCGGAAGTTTTCTAAAAAAAATATAAATATAGCTTTTAATTTTTTTTATTTTATGTTTTTTAAAAAAAGAAATATAAAAAGTTAAATATAAATAATTATATATATTTAATAATTCTAATTTATATACTAAATTACTAATATGTTTAAGAATCTTAAATAAATTTATAAAATTTAATTTAAGCTTTCTTATTTTAAATTTAATATTTCTTTTTAATAATATTATTTAGACTTCTTTAAAATAGTATTTAGCTAACTAATATTTATTATAATAAATTTCCCGGGTATTTAATATATAATACTATAAATTCTTAAGCTTTTATTATTTTATTTTAAGAATTTCTAGTCTTTTATATATAACTAGTATATTTCTTATAATTTTATTTTTAAAATACTATAAAAATTAAAAGTAATATTTGTAATATATATAAAAAATTTTTTTTATAAAACCTAATATTTTAAGTTATTATATATAAATTTTATAAAAGGTAACTTTTTAAATTAATTTTTTTTTTAAATATTATAATAATATTTTTTTAAATATTCTAGAATCTAATTTTATTTTTCTATTTAATTATTTAATTAAAAATAATAAACTATATTTAGATATTATTAATATTAGTTTATTAGAAATATATAATATTATTATATAATTATAAAATACTATTTATATAAATTAATAAAGTAATTATTATTTAGAAATAAGAATTATAATATTATAATATTAATATATAATTCCTAAATCTACTAAGCCTAAAGGAATCTAGTTTATTAATTAAATTATTTATAGAATATAAGATTATATAATTATATTTTATATTTCGAATTCTGTAATTATATATATAACTTCTAAAAAAATAACTATATTAATACTAGAACTTCTTTAAAAAAAATTACTAAAAAAAATACTTTTTTTTAATTATATATTAATTCTTTTATTTGGCCTAGTATTAGATTTCCTAAATACTTTATATATCTATATTATTTTTAAAGTTTTAGTTATATATTAAAAGCTATAGCTTTTTATATATAATTTTTCTTTTTATAATATTCTTTTCTTTTATATATTTATTTTCTATTCTATTTATATCTAATTATATTATATTTATATTAATTAGATATTTAAGAATATTTATTAGTTTTAATTTTATTATAAAATTAATAGAATTTAATTTTTTCTTAATTTATTTAATTTCTATAATCTCTTATTATTTATATATTTAATAAAAATATATCTAATTAATTATTAGATATTTCTTTTAAATAGTTCTTAATTTAATAAGATATTTATATAATAACTTTAAATTTATATAAACTATTAGTAATAATTTTATTTCTAGTATTTTATTAATTATAGATTTAATTAAAGTACTTATATTAAAGTTATAAGCTATATTATAAAGTTCTAAAACTAGAATACTTCTAGTAATTCTTTTATATTTAATAGAAAACTAGTAAATAATATTAGTATATCTAGTTCTATTTATTAGAACTAGAATATATCTAATTTAAAAAAAGAATTTTTTATTATTTATAAATAAAGTATTTATAAAAATAATTAAATATAAGAACTTTTTTATTAGCTTTATAAATCTTAGTTCTCTAATAATATTTTTAATTTATTATTAAATATATTTATTAAGTATTTTTATATTAGTTTCTAAAAATTTAATAGCTTAAATAATAATTAATAGATTATATAAAGCTTCTAATTAATAGACTAATATAATATATATTTTTCTAATATATTTTTCTAATATATTAGTTTCTAATAAAGAGATTTTAATAAATAATATCTTTATTATTTATAATAATAGTATTTTTTATAGAAATAGTTTAGAGGTTTTTATATTAGTATTTCTATATAAAAGTAATTCTAGTAATATTTATATAAATAATATTTCTATTAAACTTGAGATTATAATTAAAAGTAAAATATTTATATTTCTTAGCTAAGAACTTAGCTTTTTAAAGCTTTAATTATTTTATTTTTATAAAATTATTAGTTTTAATAAATAAGATATTATTAGTTTAAAAACTAATAATTCTAAAGAATTACTTAGTATAAAGAAAGTAAGAGTTATAAATTAACTATTCTATAAAAAGCTTATTAATATAATAGAAATAATAAGTTTTAAACTAATAGTTCTTAGCTTCTAATATATTATATAATAGTTTTATATTTTTTAAAATAGAATTATTCTCTGAATTTAGCTTTTTAATAAGCTTATAAAATGAATTAATATAGAAATTATAATTAAATAAAGTTATTAATTAGATATAAGCTTATAAGATATT